ATCATGCCCAACGAGATTCAACACAGAAAAACCTGAGTCCGAGATCGAGCGCTCCAAGGCCGGCCCTAAATATCTGTTTGCAAGTTTCGTACGCTGAAAGTGTCCTCCCTCCTTAATCTGAAACAACACTTCGTTGTCCGGCTTTTGTCGATGAAGGCGGTCGTGATTTCCAAAGACTGGCTATGAAAAAGAAAAGCGTCGTCCCCTCGCCGACAGTACCTCTTACAACCGAAGCAAATAAGTACTAAACGCTTCGTCCCATGATGCGAAATTCACCCATCAGACATCACTTTACTACGTCGTGCTCGTGTTGCGATTGCATCAACGAGCAACTACACAAATTTGTGAGGCAGAAGATTCGCGTTGCAAATATCTAGGAGAACACGAATGGCGGGGCGTTTCATGCGAAAGCTGCTGCTAGGTACGCCCGAAAGACGTCACTGCAATGGCATCATAGTGCTGCCTTCCTTGCAAAACAAAATTTCCCCGTTGGAAATTTTGCAACAAGGAAGTCATGTCATCTCGTCTTATTTTTACTCTTCTGGACATGGTTCCTCGCTTTTCTGTTTGATACGCCCATCGAATCGGGCAGAAAAGTGGAGCCGAAGGAGTCGAACGGGTGCAGAAAAGTCTCCAATATCTGATAGAGCACAAGGGCCCGCAGGTATCCAAAGTTACTTCGCTGTCGCGCGTCGTTGTCCTCTTCGATTTTGTACCCGCGCGGGCGGGGCTTGCTGTCAATCGCAGCCCTGTCGAAATACATTTCGTGCCCCCCCGCCATATCAGTCGGAAACCGGAGGAGGCAATCCTCTTTGTCCACGAGGAGGTCGCGCAGCTGGACGGCAAATTTTCTGCCACTGTGATTCCAAATCATACTGACTGCTTTTGCCTCCGAATCCGTGTTATCATCCACGTCCCCGAAACTATTTCTTGCGAACACGCACTCGTTACTTCGGTCTGCGACCAACGCATGCGCCGCACCGATGGTTGAAGACAGGTCTTCGTAGTACTGCTCCGATGGCGTTATGAGACCATGACGGCCATCGACGTCACGATTGCCCTCAGCAAGGGCAAGTGGTCCTGCAGCTGTGCCGCCAGTTCTTCGACTAACTAGAGTATCGTGCACGGGCGGAACAAACAACTTCGCGAGACGCAGCTGCCAGCCTCCTTCTAGATCCGGCTGCATCAATCCTGCATCCACATAGGAGTCTTTACCCGCTGTTCCTGCCTTCAACTTCCCCCATGCATCGACTGTAAATGAGCGACGACCATGTAGCAAACGCTCATGGACACTCACCTGAAGTTGATTTACAATGACAATGTTGAATGTACTAAAACTAATGAGGAACGTGAATGTATGTAAGTATGAAGATCAACAGGAGCCGCATTGATATGATCGTATAATAAACAGTTCCTAATTATGCTAATATAACTACCGGGTTCTGGCTCTTCAAATCGTCAGCGGGATCTACCAGCCATTCGTAAGTGTATGTAACGTCGGGCTGGAGACCGGATATAGGAACTCGCAGCAGGAGCGCAATATCCTTGACGCCGCTTCCGTCATCAAATCCGTTCGCGTTGCGGACCGCGACGTTGTGATAGTCTCGGAGCCTCAGTGTGTACGCCTGACACAAGTCGTCCGGCATTTCTGCGGAGCCCTGATCTGAGTTGCCAGCTCCAAGCACTCTTTGGACAGCACTTCGGCCGAGGTTCTTCAAGCCAGCGACCCACCCCTCATCCATTGGGGGCCGCGGGTGGTCTTTGACGCAAACGCGCAGACGCACGCGGCCAGGACTTGGCTTCCCGGCGGGGCCAACTTCATCCAGCTGGTGGCGCTGCGAACTTGCGAACCACCCGTCAAAACCCGCTCGATTGAGCGGCCAAACCGGATCGTACATAAGAATGCCAGTCAGGGTCACCGAGTGCCTTCCCGGCCGCCCGGCACCCCCGATGGTCAGCGGACCTTCGGTATCGGGCAGGGCGGTGCTCGCGGAGGACGCATGCCGTTCAGCATCACCTTCGCGTGGGAAACGCTGGTCGTCGGGTTGCGTTTGCTTCGTTAGCGAACCCTTTACTTTGTTTGTTTTGCCTGCCGCGTTGTCCGACGGCTTCATTTTGTTGCTGATCCCGGGTGCCGGCTGCTGGGGGAGAGGATTCTGGGACGAAGAGGATGCAGATTTGGAGTAGCCCGGAGGATGATGTCGTCCTGGCATGTTCCCTGCCTTGTCTGCTGGTCGGGTACTACGGCTATGCGCAACTTGTGGGGGCTGCGTCTGCGCCGGCAAAGGCCCTTCTTTGACATTCTGGAACGTTGCCCCCGAACCCGAGCCTCGATCTTGCCCACTGGTAGACACAGCATCCCTGGTGTCGGCGGCGCCCCTCGCGGGCGGATCGAATTTCTGAGTGCTGTAACGTGTTCTAGTTGGCTCTACCACAGGGACTGCTTCCCCAGCACTGAATGCTAATTCAGCAGGGTGGCTGCTCCCCAAATAATTGCCCGAAAAATCTTGCTTGCCGGAACCTGGGAGCCCCAGGGACTCGTTTCCCGGAATGGAAGTATAGAATTTCTTGTTTCCCGACCCCGAGAGTGAACTTGCAGAAGGTGGTGGAGGTGGAGGTACCGAGACCGGTACCCGTCCTGGAGGAAATCCTGCATTCGGAATGCCAGGCGGCACTGTACTACCCGACGCGAAAGGCGCGAACTTCATCGCAGGTGGCTTAGCAAACACGCCTACTGCTGGCCGAAAAGCAGGCCCGCTCCCACTGGTGGTGCCGCCGGGAGTGGATGGAGCAGCAACGGACCCCGGCAGCAGCCCCCGTGCGCCAGACCTTGGGTTTCCGGTCACTCCGCGCCCACCTTCATTGCTACCGGCCGCTCCGGACCCACGACCACCATTAGCGCGCGACCCGGTCGTTTTCAACGCGTTAGCTCCTGTGGATAAGCCCAAACTACATCCGGCGATAATCACCACCAAGCCAGCGCGCAGCATGGCCGAGGGACCCTTTCCTTTCGTGCTCCGAATCATCGTCGCAGCTTGTCCAGCTTCCTTGGTACTAGGGATAGCAGAATTAGGATACATGTAGAAAATCAAAGTGAAATCGAGAGATAGTAGTCGAATAAAACCAGACGGATTATATACTCTTCTTGTTCTGTCTTCCCCCAACGCAAAAGCGGCCAAGTGATAAACAGACCAAGTGAAGACGTCAATAGTTTCTTCGGTGTTGTGGCCGACAGTAGAAACGAGACGTTAAGGTTGGAGTCGCAGAAAAATAAATGCTGTACACAATAGCTTAGAGCTAGTCCGTAAAAATAAGTGTTGTGTAGTAAAGTCTTCTCCCGATTCAGTAATATCACTACAAAGTTACAGTGTAAACCTTTACACGTGGTAACCAGAGTGACTACTTTGATTTGTGGTAGCACCAAGACCAAATTGGAATTGAGAGAAATCAACGACTCAGTTGTAAAACGAAGCTACTACTGTTCTCATGCGCACAAATACCTTAGCGGCAAATAGCGGAATGAAGTGCCTCCGTCTAGTAAATTTTTCCCGGCTGAACGAGTCTGAGGTTAACTTATTTGAAGCCAGCTTGCTTCCTCTGTCAAAATTTCAGCGCGAATACTATGTTCACACGTTCTTGTGCAAGTCATAAGGATGACCTTTCCTAATCCTAGTGCTAGAAGTTGTTGCGCCAGGAACTACTGCAATTCTAAGGCAAACACGTCCGGTGTAGCATGGTGCTTTGAACTAAATATTCGTTAAGCTTAGCTTGTACTCGTCGTTCGTCTTTTTGTTCGTTGTCCTTGTCTATAGGGAATACTAGAGTTACAGTCGTATTTCATTGATTACGGATCGTCCTAATCGAAAAAAAATCACGATATCACATCTCACCCCAGTAGTACGAGAACGTTTTCGGAGTTGCGTCTAATTGGATTGCTCACGCTCGCATACAGACCTAGATCTAGATCGAATGCCGAGGAAGAAAACAAAAATAACGGATCCACCAGGTTGTGTCCCAGGAGGGATCACTTGGCACTTCGTTCTTCACGGTCTATCGATACTAGGATCACAAGTACTCGGACTGCACCTCTATGTGAAAATTGATGAGATCCGTTGTTCTTCTATGTCGTCTAAGTGCTGTTCTACTAACTTCCACAGGCAATGATGAGATCCGTGAAGATCGTAGCATGATGCTCCGCGCCCGCGCGATCAGAAAACACTCAAAGTTTGAGTCCAAATGGTGCAGCAAACAAGATCTCTTTTTTTAGTTGCAAAAGCACCTCGTACACCGTCCCTGGGGGAACAAGGAGTAGCGAAAGAAGCACAGATCCTCACGGGCTGTTGCTGTAGCCTCCAAAATCTTCAGGGTATCATTGATCAACGACAAAATGATATCGTCCTCCATTACAAATGGCAATGACTTGTCTAATTCGAAAATATGATGGACTCCTCCATTGATTTTGTAGATTCATTTTCAAAAGCCCATCTCTAAGAACAGCAAAAGATATACGTTTTTTCGTGTTGCGACATCGCGTCCAGGAGAACCTAGCTTATGAATGCAGAAGTCCCACCTGGCAGAAGGAGGAGACAGAGTCCCGCCCTCCGGTCGTCACATGCAGTATGCTTTGTGCAACCGTGCCTCGAACCTGTCGTAGTAGAATTTGGACTGCGGCGGCCGAATTCTGCTATACTTGTTTGCCATTGCAGCGCGGTATAGGGCCCCGGGGCGACAGCTACTAGTACTTCGCCCCCGAAACAACGATTTCTTGCCCATTTCCACAGTCACGAACTGCGGGGCGTGGCCCCACGTAAGCTCCACGTGCTGCATATCCTGTGTAAGACAAGCCTTGCCACCACGATCCCGAGTTCTTCTTCTTCTTCTTCTGCACAAGAAATTGCTTCAAGTTCAAAAGCAAACATCATACGCGTATAATTGACAAACTCTGGGATCGGGGTGGTTACGTTTTTACACAGGATACAACAACCGGTGCCCGAATTCGTAGTACAGGAGATCCAGGCACTATCACTGGAAAACACCAAGTGTGGCGTCACTGTGGGTGTGAACTTGTATTCATAACATGCAGAACAGGCTTCACTTTCAGTTTGTCTTGTTAGAAGAATGAAACTTATGCGACAAAGGCCATCCTCAGCCCTGTTTCATCTCGAAAAGCTAGCAGACCAGATTTCCTGTGTCCCAAGAAGCAAACTAATAATTTGCGAAGATTATCACATTCACACTTGTTGTGAGACACTTTTTCTTGCCATAGGAGCGGGTGCCGTACAAACACGGCGCGGTCTGCCTTCCACTCATCCAGTGCACGCTCGAGGCGACTCAGGTGCTCGCTTGCCGCGACTTGATGCTGGGAGGAGATTGCGTCTTCCTGTGGTTCTTCGTCGTCCTCCTTGTCTCTACCATCAACATCTGAGTTGGCGTTCACGAAGCGGAAGCTCCTGCGCAAGTTTCCCGTGCTTGTCCAGGCTTTCTTCGCGTCGGGCGCAGCTGCGGGATCGTTCCCGGCGGCCGCAGCAGCTGGCCATTTCGCTTTGTTGGCTCCGTACTTTTCCACGAAGTAGGTTAGGGAGGTATTCTGGAACTGCACAAAAGGACGAGAAGTTGTTGATGCATCGTGTTCATCTTCCACATCTGGTTGTGCAATAAAAGCACTAGCACTCTGCTCAGCCAGCTTGTGATGCACAATGGCGGGGGGCTGCAGAAGGAGATCGAAAGAAGGAAACGCCTGCGCTTGCTGGCGTTCGTGTGCGCCATAGGACGCGGTCCCTGACCCTGGTGCGGGTGCAACAAGCAGCTCGGCGTGTGGGGATATTTGGCCGAGCGGAAAAATTCCACCCATGTCAACGCCGAACTCGGCTATGTTGAATTGCAGCCAGAACGTATGCAACAGCAGACAACTTTGCAAAAAATGGCTGATGGATGCCAGCGCTGAAGGTATTTTTGCATTTGATTTCATCGCTCTACAGGTGCTAAAAACAGCTGTGAAATAAAAGCGATCCATATTAACGTCGTGTGTGACATTATGCACCACGGTATGATGACGTAGGAACTAGAGCGATTCTATCTTACGACCTCGGGCACCATCAGCAAGAACATCAGATTGACTATAACGCGCTGCCACTGCTATATCTACTTGATGCTGATATAAATGAATGTGCGTGTCGTGCACCTGTCTTTTCCTCCTAAGTCACATCGTGCCTGTTTTCTCCTCGGAAACATCAACCTCCACCAAAATTTGCCTGCTGCCACTGCTGCATACATGGAGAACTTCACCCTTTCACAGCGGCGCAACACGCGCAGGTATCCACGAGGAATCATCACCACCGACACCACAACTTTACCAGGATTTATTTTTCTAGTTTCTTTTTCACTGAATTGCATGCATTTGTTGTACGACATGAGAGGACGCCGACGTCGATGGTGATTCCATCTAGGATAACAGGGCGCCGCGCACGATCTGGTCATCGACAGCTGGCGTTGATGCCCGTAAGTGGCACTCGAATGATGCAGGAAAATCGCGGTCGCCCTTTTCATCGATTTGTGATGTGGTTCCTGACGCATTTCTAACCTTCGAGTTGGTTCGTTGCATAGGCGAGCTTGAAGTTGCCGTGTCGAGAACACGTATTACTTGCGTGAAGTAATTGTGTATTGGCTCGTATGGCGCGTCGTCGGGATACACCGAGCGAAGGGGAGTTGTGATTTCCTGAAGCTGCCGGCGAAGGTCTTTACGCGTTTGTGTTATTTTCTTTTGGAGACTTTGATTTTCTTTCTGCGATTGGTCGTTCTTCCAGAGCCAATCTTCCATAGCCCAGTCGAGAGAGCACAGGGATCGCTGAAGCCAACCGGCAATGATATGGATGCGTAAAAAGGGTGAAGCGCGAAGCTTTCTGCGCAACATATATTTTCCAGCTCACATTGTGCATGGCAAAATGCAGCAATGTTGACGAATGTGATTTTTTAATTCGCAAAGCTTAACTTTTCAAAGTGCGTCGACACCCAGTCGATCCTTTCGCAATCCTGTAGGTCAGGAAATACAATCTTGCGTGACATCTCCACAGTGTTAAATACGGAATTCTCTTGCGTGTAGTCATCACAAATGCAAAAAAAAAAATCTATAATCAAACGTATACGTAAAAAATTCTTCATCAAACAAACTTCACCCGTGCAGTCGATACGTTCATCATCCATACCGTACCACTTTGTCCACGACCTCTTGACTTTGCTCATGTTTGATGGCATTTGCTTCGTGCGTTGCTCGTTGGCGAAACTCGCCGATCGTTTCGTCCGTGTTGAAAAGCGAGAAGACGAGTGAGCTGAGAAAGGGATGCATTTTCGTAAAATCCGTTACCACATCGCCATCGCGCTCGTACTTACCAAACAAGCACACCGAAGCGCCGAAGCGCTGCTCCTCATGATGGTCCTTCTCAACGTTTATTTTCATTGGTGATAATTGCAGCAGCTGGTGTTGGTCATCTTTGGTCCTTTCATTTGCCTTTGGTTGTGGTTCCATTTGCAGCTTCAGCTCCATCTGCTCCTGGTGTTCTTCGTCGACGCCTACGTCAAAAATTTCTTTGAGCATGACAAACAAGGGCTCATTGCCCTCCTCGTCATTTTCCGGCAACTCGACGGGAGAGTCGTCTTTGCCATGCACGACCACTCGGCCCTCCCACCAAACACGGTCCTTCCGCAGCATGATAACGGCGTCCGCCGCGAGGGTCGCGAGCTGCGTCAGCGGTTCCGCCCGGTCCAACAGGTGAATGCGATGCACTTGCGAACGGGCTGTGTTCTCCGGGTCGAACAGCAGCCATGCGCGCTGCGAGTTGTCCCGGGCTTGGCTGTACCCGGGAGCGCCGATCATGTCACGGCCGGGCACGAGGCCGCTGTCTTGGATCCATTTTTTCGTCACGACCCCGAATTTGATGCGAAATTTGCGAAACAACTCCACCCGCGGCAGTGCCTGATGCCGGTCCGCACTGCGCCAAAAGTGCCGCACACCCTTCTCACTGCTATCTGCGAGGAAACCCCGCTTGTATTGGCCGGACGACATATGAAAAGACACAACTCGTGGTCCTATCTCGAATTACTCCCGAAACGCTGCGTCAGTGCTTGGATTTAAGTAGCTACATCCGAACTCCTGCATGTAATCAATGCTGTTCCTAAGCAACAAGAAAACAAGATACAGATAGGCAACAGCATAACGTCTTTCCCTTTGAAATAGAATTGATGTAGAGAGCGGGTAGTTCGAGCACGGTGGGCGAGGACGTGTCGAGTTGCATACAACACTTCAAACACGGTATCCGCACCATCATATCCACCAACGTCTATCAGCGTCGCGACCTTTTGTTTGCTCTGAGACAGGCTTTTTGGTGCCGCAGGTGAGGACGGACGAGATGTCAGGTCGTCCAGCTCATGCTCAGGATGCTGGCCGCGCTCGTTGTTCTTGCTGGTATTTATTTCAACATCTGCTCCATCCCCGGCGGCACTCTGCAGGATATCGACGTCTGCACCTGGTTTGTAGCTTGTGGAACCGTCACGATTTCGGGTAAAACGCGGCACGCCCACTGCACCCTCACCGGAAACTGATTCTTCGGCGATCAGCTCGGGGTCCAGCACCAAGTCTCCACCGCGCTGAATGCGCTTTCTCTGCGTCAGAAACTCCCGTGTGCGTCCGTAGAAGGCAGTCGTGAACGCTGCGCGGACACTGACACTCACGTCAGCCTGGCCTAGACTACTTGTGGAGGTCGAGGAGAAAGATTCACTGTGTTCTTCTTCTATCGCAGAAGAAGATGTTGATGTAGCTGCCGTGCGACCATACGCAATTCCTAGACGAGGTGTTGACGTCGAGCCGGACAAATTGTCGTTTGGAACGTCAACTTGTTCATCAGCAGATTTTCCCGTTTGATGCTGCTGGTGGTACACGCTCGGCTGCTTGGGCGCACGTGCCTGCGCACGACGGCCCACGTAACGCCGATCGGGCCTCTGCGTCGCACCTCCGAGGACCGGGTCGCCTGCGTGATGGTCGTCGAAGCCCGACTCATTTTCAGCGGATCGGGATCCCGATTCAGACAGCATTTTTGCTTCGGTTGATGGCATGTGCCGAATTGGCATCGGGGGATTTGAAGCAGTCTGCAGTTTCCGGACCAGAGCGGCGGGAAGTGGATGCACCTCCGGGTCGCCAACTGTGAAGACATATCAAAACGAAGTATCCCCCTCTTCCATATGTGGAATGAAAAATTTAGCACGGCGGGCTTGAAGTACACAAAAAATGATCAGGTTTATCTTAATCTTCCGCGAACCAAATATAAATAAGCATAGAAGGGGCCTGCGCAGTCTAGCGATCGAAGCTGCACGACAGACATCTCTGCCTCTACGCTTACCTCTAGCAGGCTGCGGCGCATTGAAGCAGACTACGGTTAATAGAGTGCTCCCGTTGAATGACACCTCTTTTGCCGTTCCCCGTGCCCGTATGCAAAACAGAAGAGGTTTGCGGCTACAAACTAGCTCAGAAATCGAAGAACATCCCGACAACTTGTGTGTGGACGGGGGGGTCTCCCCCATCATAAGACATCACGGTGGTTCACTTGTTGCGACATCGCGAGGTCGAGCAACAGTGGAAACGGAGAGCCCTTCAAGATCCACTCCTCCAGAAGGGACGGCGCGTCCTTTTGCAGGCCCAAGACAGGACCGTCCCGGACACAGTCTACCAGGGAAAACTGTTGCGCCGGTTCTTCGGAAGTAGATGATGCACCGTTTCTTGTCGTGCTGGACGAGGTAGAAGTTGCTTCGGCTAGTACTTTTCTGTTTCTCAACTCTCGGAGACGGAAAATTGCGTTGTCCTTACCAATCAGTGCAGCCAGCAGATCGGCGTCCGACACGATGTCCGGCTTTTCTCGCTCGGTATCCAGGTTATATAGCAGGTCGACCAGGGACCGCTCACAGGCGGTCAAAGCCGGCTGCGTCGAGGAGGCGAGGCGCTCGTGGTCTCCTTCTTGTGAAGATGTTTCCACCTGGCGGGGGGTCTTTCCCCCTTTCTTTCGTTTTTCGGTAGTTTTCTGTATTGGCACTAGATTTGCCTCGTCGCGCTCGCGCGCCTGTTCGCGCAGGTTGAGATCAAGAAATATCTGCCACAGGCCACGGTTGGTAGCCCCGATTTCTCCACTGACGCGCCGGCAGCACTCCTCCTCAATCACGGGAAAGATTTTGATGTCTGTCGGATCCTCCTCTTCGGGGGCGGAGGGAACCTCCTCGTCTGAATCCTCCGCGTCGTCAACCAACTCGTGTCCCCGCTGCCCCCATCTCGCATCTGCGGGGTCCCAGGTCAGCAGTTGTGCACTGCACTGCTTTCGGTACAGGAGCCGCGGGTTGGCGTCCAAGCGGTTGTCGTGGTTGCGCAGGACGCAGTGCGCAAACCGTTCCTGCAGGCGATCCTCCACGATGACCGCAGACACCCCTACCAACGCACGGATCTCTGCCAGTAGCGTCGCGGAAAAAATGTCCAACTCCTCGAAGTCGACCGCAGACGTTTTTGGTACGTCGACCTCGTTCTGTCCAGCAGCGCTCGCTGCAGCTGATCCAGGCTCCTCCGGCCCACCGCTCGTGCCACCCGCCTCGAGTTCCGCCCAGCCCTCGAGCGCGTGCACGCGCTCCAACCGTCCGAACCGCGCGAGCGTGTCGCGGTACCGCCACAAGGCCCCGCGCTGCATTCCGAACACAAACGCGAAGAGGTGCGGAAGCGCCTCCGAGACAGTGCGTTTCGACGTTTTCTGCACCAGCTTCTTGGACGACGAGGTGCCGGTGGTCATGTCCCCTCCCTCTGCTACTATTGGGTTGTCAAAAATAATATCCTGCCGGAAATCCAATTTAAACTGCTCATACGCCTCCTTGGAGGAGCTGCGAATCAAATACTCCAGGCTGAGCCTCCCGACCTCGCAGCTGGTCCGGAACAGCTCGCCTGTTTCGTTCCGGAGCGGACGAAAGAGCCGCAGGTCGCGATGTAGATCGAGGCCAAGAGTGTCCAGTAGCGAGATCGGCCCGTAGTCGCCTGGATTCGCGAGCGCGTCGACGCCGAACCGCTTCCGCAGCGTTTCCCGCAGAATCCCGTCGCGCAGGACGTGCTCGTCGGCGCGAAGATGCGTGTACTCCTGCCACCGGTAGTTGTTCAGGCCCCAGACAGCGGAGTGCAGCAAGGAGCTGGTCAGCGCTTTCTCGCTGCGGAGCAGTGTGTTCTGGGGGTATTTGCGCTCCGGCATGTGATCCATAGCCACCGCCGCATGCGGGTTCAGATGCAGTATCAAGTACGCCGAGTGCGACACGTCGCGGCAAAACGAGAAGTCGATCCGGTCCCATTTCTGACTGTCCTCGGGGTCAACCTGATACTGAAACGGCTGCGAAGCCTTCACGAGGGGAAACGTAAAGAACAAGAAGAAGGCCAATGGAAAAATGATTTCAAGGTGGACACCATGAACCGACGAAAAAAAACATTGCCACAGACAAGGTATAAAACTAGGCACTATCACTAGGCGACTCATTGCAAATACCCGACCAAATGCAAGAAATATATGAAAACCTAGTACCTAGCTACAACAAAAAAATGGGTAGAGAATTGCGAACGCGTCCGAGGAGGATCACAGACACAGGTCTGGTAAAGATGATCCATCTCTCAACAACTACACCACTATCATCCTCCTAGCAAGCTATCTTCAGACTGCTGCTCTTCCCATAATATCTGAAAAGGGAACAAGACAAATTTGGAGGTAGAGATCGTTGTTTGTGCTTTCAAACTGAAAACAGATTCGACGACTACAATATGGAAGATGAAAAAATACACTGAACTTGCACAGACGAAATCAAGATGACCACGAAATCGGAAAATTGACCGACCATATTTTTTCTTGCCGCCACGAGGTACAAGTACAATCTACTACAGATACTGAACTTATTACCGCTGCATTGTAGTGTGATGGCTTTGACGGTTGCAAGAGAAAAAGCGGGTAGCTACGAATGTCGCGCTTCCGTTCAATGCTGGCGCATTGCCATTGGCATTTTTCGATTCATTGATGTATACAGGAGGAACGTCCTCGAGCACGGGTGATTTTATTTTGTGTTCTTCCACAGAAGTTGTTGATGTTTTCTCTTTTCTCTCCGATCGGACGGGCATATTCTTGATATTCTCTTTAAGTACATGATATGCTTAAGCTTACGTTTTGGTTTTTGAAAATTGAAGTAGACGATGAAGACAAGGACAGAAAAAATTTCTTCCTCTTTGTGGTCCTTAGGTATCGGATGACTGACACCCTCGCTTGCGTTGAAATTCAGAAATATGTACGAAAAATTCATTCTGCATTTGGACTTTCATTTAATTTGGTCAAAGAAGTATTGAGATTTTCATTTTGGTTCTGTGCTTTAGGGAGTAGACCGTCGATATGTGCTTAGGGGAGCGCGGGTTTTTCGTGCAGCTACTAGGATATTGTCATGTCTGGACATTCAAGAAGCTTTTCTGCTAGAACTACAACGTGGATGTCAAACACACATATTTTTCCGAGCGCGAAAAAAACCAACGACTTTGCAGCACATCATCAGCATGTCTTCTAATCAAGCTTTCGATTACGATTATCCGCTTCCAGATGAAAAATAGCTGGAAAGTCTGCTAAAATATGATGCGCTGCGCTGTTGCTCGTCGCTCTCTCGAATGCCGTATGGCTGGACGCTGAGCGGGTTGGCAGCGGTATCAGCCATCGTCGCTGCGGCGTCAAGGCCCATCACGCCAACTAATGGTGCGAAAAAGTTCATGTGCGCCCGCTTCTTGCCTTCGTCTGATCAGAATGTGTTGCATTGCGTCGAAAAAATGTGGGGGAGATTTAGGTCTTTCTACTCTCAAACTCAATCGCTCATCAAAGCGCACAGGAATGGCACTACCCACTACGTGAAGCAAGATTCTAGCTTCGAAATTCATTGGTGCATCTTCTAGAAGTTTCGAAATCTAAATCAAGAGAAGAAGACTAAAGAAGTGAACTTCCCACCTCCAGCAAAGCAGAACGCATGCAAATCACATCTTCACTCATCATCATTTGGTTCAGGGCGCTTCTTTTACTATGTAGATGTACGTATTAAAATTGTGACTGTGGTGCGTAAACTATACCCTCTTCGAGATACGTCGCTTGTGCTGGCTTGCCATCTTCTTCGCCTTCGCTGTCGCTGCCGTCCAGACCCCACCACTCGTTCAGTTCGTCGGCATAATCTGCGGGGGGAACTTCGGCTGATGATTCCTCTTCGTCTGCCATGTTGTACGACCTGTTTTTTTGGCATGAGTGTGGACGTGTCAACGTCGAGGACTGTCGCATGAGCGACTACATGCCGTCCTGACAGAGACAACGCGCCTATCTAGGTAGGTACCCTCGTGGAGCTACGGAGTTACGTATATGATTCATGCTACTGGCTTCATACCTGAACCCATTCTGGAACTGTGCTCCATTGGTGTCCATTGTCATGGTTGTAGTGTGTTCCTGTGTGTGGATCCTAGTGGTGTGATCCTACCCATGATCCTACTGCTGATCTTCCTCTAGACCCATCTATATTCTAGAGCCCTCTGATGATCTTGGAGCATGTAAGGCACTGACATCAGTCCTGTATGGTTGACGTGCAATACACTCCCCTGCTCCAAGTCAGCTGAGTTCTTGGGCTTCTAGAGTCTTCATCCAAAATGTAAAACAATACATCAGCATGATGGTGGCGCTGAACCACAAAAACTTACATGTGCTTCTTAGTGCACATCTGCATAGTTGCCGACACAGACATCGCCGATAATGCAACATGACATCAGTAAGAAGATGCTGCTCTGAGCTCTGGCCCGAAACCTTTACGCGGCACGTCCTGAGGTCGTTGGCATAGAATTTCTTACTTTCCGTATCGGTTTCCTTGGTGACGTCAGAAACTTTTCTTGCTTAAGCTTGTTCTTACGGCTGTGCTTTTACTAGGCTAAGAATACTATGTCGAAGTGCTATGATCGCAACTCTCGACTTCGGTTGCAATCACGGCTGCAATCTGAATAATTAAAACGAGGCATGAAGGCTAATAGGGAAACAATGCGAAACGATAGCACTGAGGCCATGATCGCTCCCTATTCTTAGGCTGTTAAATGTCAACTGCGCTCCCATCTCTGGGGCGGTAGAGACGTTTTCTACTTTTTAGGCTCCCACTCCCCTGCGGGAAGATACCTGAGAGGAATTTTTCAGAGAACCCCGGGACCACAGGCAATGACGCCTGAGCCGTGAAACTCTTGCTCGAGTTTTTCTCCAGCGGGGGCTTCTCCTGCATGAATCGCAGGAGCGGGTGCGTGAACCCGTTAGCTAGTTTGAATTTTCTACCGTGCAAAACAGCAAAAGCCAAAAGGACAATGTCGGCGAAATATTATCTCTAGCTCTACTAAGTCTACTCAAAGCAAGCGACTGACTTCCAGACTGGCTCTATTGTACAAGCAGGGAGTAAAATAAGTGAAAAGATACCTCACCCCACTATGCTACCGCGCCCTAGGTGCATCGTACTCCTCCTAGTACTGCTTCTGTTTCTGCGTTCGGAATCAGATCGAACTCTCCACGATCTGCTTCTGGTTGCCCGTGCTGGCGCTCGGACAGTGTTCCTTTCCTTGCCCCTCTGCGTGATTTGTGGCCGCCCGCGCCACAACACCCACTAGAGTTTCCTGGTCGACCTCTCTCTGCGAAGAGAGTAGGTCTGAATATCCTGAGTCGGCATTTCCTGAGATGCTTGCGCGTGGCCGTGGCCCCTCGTGCCACTACAACATCACTCCGACTTTCCTGAGTTCGCGATCATCTGCGACGCCACATGCGTATTGCAGATTTCCCCGCGTGCTAGATTGGCTAGCACATATTGCGAACCCGAACTGCTGACCGGCATGGTCATGATTTTGTGCTTCTTTCTTTCCTTCTCGACCTGCAGAGGCATCAATTGCGATAATTGATGTGCGGAGAGGTTTTTGCCCTTAACTAGCGCCTTGCGCTTCCCTGCCACTCCAGTTGCTGCGGACAAGCCGAAAAGCATGCCGGGGGCGCCTACAGCCACGAGCTTGGGGAGCTCTCTAATGGTTGGGGGGCTACTACTATTGTGGCCTTGGTAGTTCGTACCTTTCCCTCTAGGGGAATGCTTGGGCTCATAACTCTGTGGACGTGTCAACGTCGAGGACTGTCGCGCGAGCGATTACATGCCGTTCTCACAGAGAGAACACACCTAAGCTATCTAGGTACGCACCCTCGTGGTACTACGGAGTTATGTATATGATTCATACTACTGGCTTCATACCTGAAGCCATTCTGGCACTGTGTTCCATTGGTGTCCATTGTCATGGTTGTAGTGTGTTCCTGTGTGTGGATCCTAGTGGTGTGATCCTACCCATGATCCTACTGCTGATCCTCTAGACCCATCTATATTCTAGAACTCTCTGATGATCTTGGAGCATGTAAGGCACTGACATCAGTCCTGTATGGCTGACGTGCAATAATGGAGCTGTATCTATCAACTGAAGTGACTCTTCCTACTTCTCGTGTTCTATCTAGTACGGTAAGTTAGTATTCGTACTTATTGGTATTTATTCAAATACAAATTCATTGAACCACACGAAGCAAAATGACAAAGATCAGCAGGTGGAGGACGATGGTACTCGTGCTTCTCTGAGGTTGATGCGCCGCAGTCCCCAACGTCTGTTGACTTTGTGCTTGACGAGGAGGAGGAGGAGGACCCGCCCATCAAGAAATTCTTGATGTTTCCCCTCGTCGCTACGATCACCTTGGCCTCCGCATTTTCTTGTATGGTCGCCCGCAGCTTCTCCTGCGTCACTTTCAAGTTATTAAACGTTACGGAGGCGTACCTGATAGAAGTTTTTAGAAGATCAACCCTTTGCTCGCTAAATCAGACAGAAGATTAAGTTTAATGTTGTTCTGGAGGTGGAGGTCAATGAGTGATTGAGCCTAGTACAACTACATGCTAGAACTAGATCTTTTGCTTTTCGTCAAAGAAAAATTATATATTAATCGTATTATCCAATTCTACAATACTTATTGATGCGCTGTACCATCTTGTGCCGCATTTTCCTTCTTTGTTTGCAAGGCCCTCGAAATGGTGCACTGCTACTCCGGTAACACCCTTAGTCTTCAACAAGGCAGTCTTTGCCGTCTCTTCGATGTTCTCCACATCGGGAAGCAGGAGAATGCTTGTCTCGATAGTGGCCATTGTGGTGGAAACCGAAACGGTGGAGATGAAGATGGCTCTTCTAGTACTTGGTTTTCTTGGTGTTGTACCCCCAGCCAGTTCTTTTCACTTTTAACTTTGCCTTTGGACGTCGTCGTGAGGATTCCTTTTGCTTTTCGTTTTTTGCGAATTCGACTGGACGTGAAAAATAGGCCCGCTGCCGTGAAGAAAAAACTTCTAGTTGGCGCAGTAATTTGATTATGATATTTGCTGGAGCAGGCACTCGAACAAGTCGAAAATCCTCGAGGGCTTCACTTTGAACTCGGAGAGCAGATGAAACTGGATGTTTATTGATGGACAAGAACCTCCAATGCGGGTGGAGGCAAGCTACAGAAAGATGAACGCTCGGCAGGGGTCCTTGGAGCTCGCTGTCGCAACTACGCAGGCCGGAAGCAAAGACAAAGATCGACAGCTTCGACTTGTTTCGCACACAGTACGCAAAAGTTCCTGGGGCGAGGTCTGTTCAAATCTTTCAACTTACACACTGTCGGAAGTGCGACGCGAAGCGGTGGTGCTGTTGGAAGTGGTATTATTTACTTCGTTGCGTCATCGTCCATCAATCTCTGTGTCGTCCGTCAATCTGGTACTGGTCGGAGTCTCGTACTACAGATAAACAGCTGCGCAACTTACTAATGTGGGTATTTCCGTTGCACTGTAGCACCTCCTCGTCCTGCTATCGTTAGGCTTGTCAAAACGCTCTTCGCCCTTGTATGTTGACGCCTCGTGTCAATTTCGTGCCGCGGTCTTCAGAAGATGATCAGACTATGAGGCATGTATGTTGATGGTTATCGTGTTTGTCTTAGCTATGACTATGATAATGATTATCGAATATCCACGAGGTACCTGAAGGTACGTAGCTAGAGGAGACCAGTCCCAGTTCTCGTCGTGATTTTTATCTAAGAACTTTTGCTTTAACAATAAAAAACAACGGTATGATCTATCAGGCAGTGTCTCTACCTCTAGTAGATAGAACCTGACTTAATAAATCAGGATAGCGCTACACTTCTTCAAAGACAAAGAGGTGGCTGTCATCGGATTTACCCGTCGGTCAGTTGCCTAGACATATGCATATGCTGCTGTCAACATGCTGAGACTATCGTATCTCCTCCCAGCGCCAGAAGGATCATCTTTCTACGCAACTACAATGTGGCCCGCCCAATACGATATGAGAAAACGTCTGAAAGATTGATCTGTCCCACGCGCAAAATAGACAACTGCAGGGGCTTCAGGTGCGGCCTGCTGCTGCTGTCGGTGCAGCTTCAATGACAATGAATAGAAGAGACGCGCACCATGAACACGCAAAAACTTGTTCACACGGAAACAAGAACTACTAGAAATCGAGACATTGCGAGGCCCTCGATCCAATTCGTGCCGTTGCACTTCCAGTTGTGGATGATAGATGTACAATCACCATAGATACCACTCCTAAAAACGCTAGTTTGTACATTTCCATGCTGGAGGTGCGTGATCAAAAGAAAACATCGTAATCGACATCAAAATGTTGTGAATGGTAAGCGTACAAAACGATCGATGCTTGTTCATGTTCTTGTGCTATCCCACGCCCCCGATCCTCACACAGCCACACTCACGCCCGGGAAGCAGAAACGCCAGAGCTTTACCGTTTCAAAATAATCTGTTTCTAGTACGCTTAGCATAGAGATGATTAGCGGATCTATCATGAGCTGACTTGATGGAGCAGGAGCTTGTTGCTGTGCGAAACTACTACATTAAAATCGTACATTGTAGAAATATCGCTTTATGTGTTCCGCGAAATCGAATGCGAAAACTCTATCAAATCTAAATCCATCTACACGAGGAATACCAATACAAAACAAACCGTTAGTACAATTGATGGATCTGCTGGAGCCTGCTATGAGGTTGCGTTCTCTTCCTACCGCAAGAAACGAAAGCTGGACGAGGCTGATGTAGCTGTGCTGCCTCTGCTTGCTGCTCTACATGTTGACATCTAGCTAGTTGTAGTTGTCGTGGTAAGTACAGCCCAAGACTGCAAAACCTGAAACAGGGCAAAAAGCGCAACCGATCGCAATCCGAGTTTCGACGATTTCGCTATTGCTTTGGTCCTCCCCGACTTCTAGTGCAAAGAAGAGCCCGATGCCGAAGGTTTGATTTTTGGTATTTGGTCACTTCGTGGAGGCAATGGGAACAGTGGCTGGTCCAATCGTATTTGCGGGAGCGCCGGACCCGGACTCAGCCTCGGACGGGGCATATCTAGTGCTGCTCCCGCAGTGGAGGGGGAGGTCTCATTTGACGTAGTAGCGACGCCGCGAAGAGACGGTTTTTTGTTGATCCGAAAACTCATGTTGACGCGCTGCATGTCAGGCGAGCCAATCGCTCTTTGGTCGTCCAAGCTGATGACCTCCTCACCTGCACGTCCAGTTGACCTCGTCTGGTGCTCGCACTTATCTGCAACTCCTGCGCCCTTGGGCAGATTCGTTGCTGTGTCTGAAAATGTTTTTTGTGAGTCGCTCCTAGAGGAAGAGGCGGCATCGGCATCGCTCAACGCAGCTGCAGTAGTACTGCTTGCAGCCGATCCGCCACCAGCTCCTTCCCCAGCCCCCTCATGCTGGTCGTGTGCTCCAGGCGTTTGCACGTCCGGCGCGCAAGTTTCATCTTCCTGGGCCGCCGATGCGGGTGCAGTAGTTGCCGAAGAGGAAGAAGACAATGCAGCTTTTTCCAGCGCAGTTGAAGTTGTCTGGCTGCCTCGCAACGTCGTGGCTGCTCTTGCCCCGGGCCGGTACCGAAGCGCTGCGGCGCTGGAGGTCGATAAAGCCTCGTCAAGGTTGATGAACCTGGATCGACTTGCACTTGAGGTGGAAGTCTTCGCGATGCTGCTCGTTTTGATCTTGAGGTGCACCGGGGGCGACATTAATAGCCGGGTGCCGGTTTTCCCGCTGTCCTGCGGCTTTTGTAACGAGGCAGAAATCGGCTTCAGCTTGAACTGTGGCGGAGACGCGGAGTTGACGAAAGAGCTGCCTGCTGGGCACGTGGACAGCTTCTTGTGTGACGAAGAATTTACCAACAACAATCCCTGGGCTCCGATGCGCGGCACAGACCAGGACGGAGACACTAGTTGGCCTGCCCGGCACGCAGTCGGCGGACTGCTAAAACAACTCGACTCATCTTGTCTACCATGACCGAACTTGATGTTCTTGTCGATGGCCGCTACTCCCGTCGAAGTTGCAAAGCCACTTCTAGCCCCCGCGCTCCCACTGGACGAGATTGCATTTTTTGCGTCGCAGCTATTTTTAGTCTCGTCGTTCGTCTGGCTCTTTGCAACAACTGATGGAGTTGTTAGTATCACCATGGTACTCGGACTCCCGGATGCCGCGTCAGCATCGATTGATTGGTTGTCTTCATCGGGCGACGAAACCGGAAAATCAGCATCGCTGCTTGCCAACGGAACACTGCTGCTGAGCTTCGACGGTGGCTGTGACAATGCTTTATCCTCATCTGAGTCGACATCTTCCATCTCGATGGCAGGCGAAAGTTCAGCGGGCGGAGCAACCACCTTCTGTGCCACCTTCTCTAGCAAGAGCGGGTTTCTACTAGTAGTTGCCGTGGTTCTTCGGCCGCCTATTGAAGACCACGAGCTTGTTGCTTTTTTCACCTGCATCATCGGAGAAGATAAGGGACGAGGCGGTACCGCCTGGGAGGTAGTGCCTCCGAAAGTAGCAGCAGGGCGCGTTCTTCTCGAATTTCTTGGGAAGCTAGAAGATCCAGTCGAAAAAGCGGCGTGTAGTTGGAGTTTTTGCTGATTGCAATTTATTTTTTGGTCATGAAGTTGTCCCCCAGGAGATGGAAAGGGAGCTACAATTCCCGTCTGGTTGCCCACGCGTTTGAGGAAGCTGCATACCCGGGTGAGATAAACTGCCTGGCGCCGCGAGTTGTGGTCCGCGTTTTGCATCAGGTCCAGCGCCTTATCGCAGCCACCCCAGTTGTCAAAGAGAAACTGGGTGTGCCGGGGTCGGATGAAGGTGTCCTTGGTTCCCGCCAGAAAGTAAACGGGCAGCCGCAGTTTTTCCGGGCATACAAACAGCTCGTCAATGTCGAACTCTGCTCGTTGCTGCACCGAGCTGCGAATAAACTGCAAAATGGTATCCAACAGTGGCAAACCCACGGACCCCACCATCTTGAGTCCAAAACTCATCAGCAGTGTCTTGCTGGCTGGCGCTTGATGCTGTGAAGAACTTCCCGAAGCAGTGGAGCTTTTTGACGCATCGCTATCGGCACGCGCACGCCGCTGCGCAGCGCCCGCCGTTGAGTCACCCGACGCTGCCGAGGAGGAAGAGGTTGCGGTTGCGCGCGTGCTCTGCATTCTTTCGTCGCTACTTTCCACATCGGTGTTTGGTTGCGAGGATGAGTCCGCCGCATCCTTGTTCACGAGTAACTCTGGAGCGGTAGGGGCGGTGGAGGAAAAGGACTCTACGAGTTCGCGAGCAAGCACACGAAAATTGGAAAACGAAGAATCGCACACCAGGCCGACGATAGGAGATTTGGTATCATGTACTAGTTGAGGAGGACTATTAGTACTAGTAGCTGCAGATGTGATCGTCGACAGTTGTTGTTTACTTTTTGCGTCCTTTCCTGCAAAAAGTGTCGGCGCTTCAGGAGGTCGTGTAGAAGTTCCTGCCGGAGTTCTTGTTGAGCCGTACTTCGCACAGTAGCTCAGCGCAGTGAACGCACCCATGGACCGGCCCCACAACATGATCGGCCCCACGTTGTCCTGCTCTCGCAAGTGTGTCACAACAGTGTGCAGGTCTTCTCGCTCGTAGAACCCAAGCGACACGTAGTCGCCGTCGGAATTGCCGCTCCCGGAGAAATCGAACGCGAACAGCGAGAAACCCAAAGAGAGGACATAGTCCCAGGTTTCTTTTGCCTCTAAGCGACAACTGGCATTGCCATGGAGGTACACCACACAAGGAGGGGGGCGGGAAGATGCAGATGCTGTGCCCGCGGCGCCACCTCGATATTCCGTCCTATTCTCAGTAGATTTGTACTCCTTGTTGTAGTCTTGATCTTGTTGAAAACTACTACCGTTGGATCTTGAGCAAAATGCTGGTAGATTTCCGGCAGCTCCTCGTCCTGTCCTAAACGATTTCTCCTCCTCTTCCATCAAACACAGATCCATGTCGGAATCACGGTGTTTCTCAACGAAATTCCGGATGCTCCGGGAACTCGACATCGTAAACCGTGCGCCGCTTGTCTCTAGTGGCGTCATGGCGTCCTCTTGCAGTACCTCGGTGACTGTGGAGCATGATCCTCCTGGCGCTCCTGCTTCTGGTGCGCCGGAGGGGAGACTGGTGATGGTGTCCTCGTGTTGACGTACGTCGGTAAGACATTCGTTCCACCTTGCCTCTTGCCGTTCCTCGTCAACTGCGCAAGAAAACGCTGCATCATGATCTTCGACTACGACTCCCTCCGATTCATCTGTGCTGACACCGTTGTTCGAGGGCTTCACGAGCAATCTTTTGCTGGGCGAATTGCTTCTAGATGAAAAATTGCCGCCTGGTTGTACTTCCGTCGAAGAATTTTTACATTTACTCGAACTCGTCCCACTCTGCTGGTTCGAAGTAGACGAAGAAGACTTGGAAATGCAGCGGACGGGCGTGTAGTGACAGCAAATGAGGCGTTGTCCGCGGTCGTTAACTAATGTCAAATCCGTCCGGCGCCAGGTGCGGCCACACCGCACGAAATCCTTGGGTCCCAGCTGGTGATCTTTCGGGACGCGTCGCTCTGGGCGGATGACCAAGTTAACCAAGGAACTGTACGCGTCCGAAATGAAGTCGAACATTTTCGCAATTCTCGTTGACTGTCGCGCTTTTGTCCCTTTAGAAGTGCAGTTTTTACAACTTCACGCGCATGCACATAACAAGTACAATGTGAGTGTCCCCGCTGTTCAACTCACGAAGCACTCGCGTAACCTGGACTTCTTCGACCTGAGAACTACAAGCGAAAGCTGCGGTACCAGGGGTAGCTCTCCTTCAATCTACCAATACACGCAGTGCCTCTCTTTCCGTTTCCCTCGGCCTCCATCGAGGGTACTTAAATGAAATCTTGGTGCAGTTTGCTCGCTCTCTACCTTCGATCCGATTGCGTTTGCGACTACCTCCCAGAAAGGCGTCAACCATACGAAACAAATTTTCCGTGATGCCGTTGCCACGCGGTGGCGACTAATAGATACACATCGTCGCCCTGTTCAGGTGCAAGATCAGGAACTTGCGCTCTTCTGGCCCTGGAGTGCCATCGATCGTGATGTTCGAATTGCTTTTTTTATTTAGCATGTAAACTTGTTCACACAAATTCCATTTCCCACCAGAACTCTTCAGGTGTCCTAGGCTCACTTTGAAGTCCCATGTAATGCGACTCTTCATCGCGCTCAAAGCCGGGATTTTTCGGTGCCAGATGAAGATTCCCCTGGGATTCCCGCCCAGCTTCAGAGCCTACCAGGAAAAAGCCTAGACGGCCACCACTTTCTATCTGCGAGGCCCGCGGCGCCTTGCCTTCAAGGGCGAAAAACGACGAACCCCATACGTCAAAAGCATACGGCGCATGTTGTGTTGGTTCCTGTTTCGCCTCACTTGTGGTCACGACCCCAGCACCCGTTTCAACATCATTATTGCCGGCACTATTGTTCTTTGCAGCTTCACCACCAGCTGCAAGTCCTCCACCGGTAGTTTCTGGTCGTTCCATCAGCAGTTTACAGCGCTGCTCCGCTAGGCAGATGCATGCATCCCCGATGACCGCGGTTCGTTCCTTCTCGGGCAGGTTCGAAAAGGCAATGGGCTCGATTTTCGCCGGGAACCCGGTTTCGGAAAAGAGCTCTTGCTCGAGCCCCACCTGGAAGTGCGCCGCTACGCCGCCCTCGTTGAAGACCGCCAGCACCTCCAGACTGCCGCTTCCGCCTTCCTCCGGGCCCAAATCCACCTCCACATCGTCCGCCGCGACGAAAACGAAGCTGTTTTTCGAGTCTTCCACCCCCTGCAGCAGGTCCGCGCGCTGGTCCTCGTGGCCAATCAACCGGAGCGACACGGCCAGATGGTCCTTCGCGGCCCGAATCCCGATGGCCTCCCACACCCCGGCCCGGTTTCGCTGCTTGTGCGTGTGAATTTTGTAGGCGTGCGGGACGTCGGCGTGCGCCTTGCTGTGGTGCGCGTCCATGTCGTTCCACCAGTGGACCGCGAGATACCCCTGGTGGTGCACGTTTTTCAGCAAAAACGCCTTGCCGTGCTTCGCCTGCTGGACCCGGAGCCCGATCTGCTGCAAGAAGTCGAACGCCACGTCGTTGGTCGTCAACGGGTGGTACAGCGACTTCACCACGTCGAAGGCCAATTTCGGGTAGCGGCGGTCGTGCGACAGCAGGCCCTTGTTGTTCAGACCGTTCGGCCGGAAAGGGAAGGGCCGGTCCTCGCGCTCCCAATTCGGCGATTCGATGGCTGTCACCAACCCAAAAATTTTCGCGGCGACGTTTTCGTAGCCGACGTTCATCGTGTTCACAAACTGGTCCGCGAACTGCCACAGGCACAACCCCGCGAACGCCTCTTCGGTGAAGAGGATCGCGAGCACGGCCAGCCCGACAATCAGCGCCTGCCGCTCCTCGGACCAGGTGAGCGCCTTGTCGCCGGTCAAGTATCCCACAAACCCGCCGCCGCCGGTCTCCCCGATGAGCACCGGCTTCGCGCCGCGGGCCTGGACTTGGTGCCCGGACAGCGACAAGTGGCGGAACGACGTGACGGTTTCAGCGAGATCGGTGGACAGGTCGTACCAGCCCGGGTAGTCGTTGAAAACGACGAGGTCCACGAGGTCGAACACATCCTGGCTTTCCGACGTCTTGTACCGGCTGGCAAAGCTGCGGAACCGGCTCGACTTGTTCTTCTCGGTGATCGAAAAGGACGGGTCGTAGTGCGCGCAGACCTGGAGCAGCAGCGCCATCAGGTATTTCACAGCGTTGGAACCGCGGGGGGAGGGCTGCAGAATTTTGGACACCGATGAGGATGAAGTCGTCGTCGGACTGCTCTTGGGTGGTGCTGATGCATGAGATGATAGAGATTTTCCTTTATCGCCCTTCGCAGCTGCAGATGTTGCAGCTCGACTGGGTGTCAACATTTCATCTGTTGATGCTGTTGTAACAGAAAAAGAATCTCTCGGCAAGATGGAACGCATTAGCAGCAAGTCTCGCGCTCGTGGAAACCATGACTTGTGCGAAACGTCGCCAGGCAGCTGCTGGTGTGTTGAGCTAGTGAAAAACGCTTGTTCTCCTGCTGTTTCCTCGCCTTCGTCGTCCTCCAGTGCGTTTACCGTGATTCGGTGCTTTTCTTCGTCACTCCACTGACTCCTTGTTGAGTGCTCGCGCCCGTCAACTTCATTCAGGAATCCCCACACCGCGACGCTCGCGTGCAATCGGTGCGCCGCAACGGTGCCGGCCATGGCTTCTAATTGCGCACGCACGAAGGCCGGATGCGCCGCGTCGCCCTGCGAGGCTTGCCAAGACATAGTTTCCTCCCAGACGAGAAGACCGAAAATGTCGCAGAGGGTCAAGAAAACCTCACCCTGGCTGTAGTGCGCCCCGCGAACAAAATTCGCATTCAAATCCTTCACCAAAAGCACCTCGCGAAGGTCGATAAGAAACTGGCGGAAAAACGCGTGATCCTTTTCCTTGGAACTGCAGCGACCTTTGTGCCCGAACAAATGCGTCGGGGTGGCGAAAGGCGAGTGCTCCGATGTTGCTGCAGCACCAGTAACATCATCCACCGCAGAGCTCTTCAACATCTGGAGCTGTGTTGCTGCTGCGACCGAAATGCAGTCGAGAGCTTTTTGGAGTACTCCCACTTTGTTCGCGAATTCCAAAAAGTGCAGCGCAGCTGTGCGGGACACGTGGAGTGTCACGTCGACAAATCCACGACTGGCAAAAGCAAGCTTCGCTTCTTTCGACAACAAACTGATCTCTCTGGAAGACTGCACTGCTGTATTCTTGGCCAACGTTTCCTGCAAGTCGTTTTTCCACACCGCATCTGCTTTTTGTCGAAACTGTGCTTCGACTGCTGGATCTTCTCCGTCACCATCATTTCCGCTAGGAACATCAGCAGCTTCTGCTGCGGTTCCACCTTCACCGGTTCTTGAGCCCACCATCCCCGGCCCGCCACTTCCGCTCCCGTGTACCAAGTGACGCGTCGCAGCACTCTCCGGATCCAGCAACAGCAGCACATCCCTGAAGTACAGCAGTCCCTCGTATAACGCGTTTGTGTCGTGCGAAAGAAAAAAATTGTCGTGCCGGTTGATGCCCTTCAACATAGTCGGATTCCCATTCAACGTGATGCGCTGCGCTGCGTTCGACCCCAGAGTTCGCAAGCCGATCTTCTCGTGGAAAATGTCGAGAACGGTGCCCTTCGAGGTGACCTCAATTCTTAAATCTACAAGCTCAGGCCTCGCCGGAGACCACAGTTTGTCGTGCGGGACCTCCATCCTGGACATGCTCGCTCCGCCAGAACTACGCGGCAGTCTTCGACCGTCGACCAAGATCTCGACGGAAACCGAACTGCGGGGTATGTTGCATTTGTCACTGGATGCCAGGTCAAAGAAAACGACAAGCTCCGCGGATTTGTTCGACCCTCCTGTGATTGTACCCATACCTTCGTTTTTTCCTGCATTTTTGGTAAAGGTGTAGATTGGGTACCCACGGATTGGGTACCCACTTTGGATTGGGTGCCCACTTTGAAAAAGGTACTCATTTTGGAAACAGGTACCCACTGGGAAATAGGTACCCAGAGGGAGTCGGGTACTCAGTATGATTGTATGATTTGGGTACCCGGTGGCGTGGAAGCGAAATTGGTTCCCGTCCCCGTCCAGAACGCGCATGACACACCCGCGAAATTCAAAAGTTTTATTTTTATGGTGTCAGTAAGCTAGTCGCAACGCAGAGCCTTGTTGTATTTAACAAGGTTGTTTGTATTCGCATCACAAATCCGCAAAAATTAAAAAAATTATTTTTATTCGCATTACAAATCCGCGGAAATTCAAAATTTTATTTTTATTCGCATCACAAGTCCGCGAAATTTTAAAATTTCATTTTTATTCGCATCACAAATCAGCGGAGCTTGACAATGAATCTCACGCACTTTTTTCGCGTGTGGGAATACAAAAGTCGCAGTGCACAACTTTTGTATGGGCGCATCACAGGGAGGGGGGGTGTCACAGCGCGCGGCGTCCGGAGGACGGGAAACCGGTTCACATGATACCCGGGCGACGGATGGCGGTATGCTCTGCAAATGTGTTTGGTTCTGGAAGTTCGGCTTTGTCCCCTTGCTTCCGTTCATGCGTAAAGAAGTCGAGCGAAATTTCAAAATTTTATTTTTATGGGCATAAAAACGCAAGATGTGTCTGATTCCCTTCAAGTGCCAGGGCAGTGGTGTCTGTTTCGGCTGCGCGCGGCCGTCAAGTCCTGCGGGTCCTCGGATAGTTAGCAACTCAAAGTGGGTACCCTATTACCAAATCCAAAGTGGGTACCCAATCCAGAGTGGGTACCCAGTCTAACCTCGTACCTGCATTTTTCGCTGGTCGTGAAAGCTGGTCTTGCGACTGAGATTTGTCCGCTAGCGTCACCTGCGGGAGCACATTGTCCAGCCAGAAGCAGGAACGTGGCGCGCGGAGCTCCACGGGGCGGACAAGGCCGCCTGCGAGATAGAAGTCAAATTGCTTTCGGTAGACTGGGGGCCGCAGACGATTGTCCGAAACAACAAAGACCTCGACTTTTTTGACGCTCGCAAAAGTTTCATCCGTACTTTCCGGGAACTCCGCATGCAGGTCAACCCAAAAAGGCGCGCCAAGCTCCCGCCACGGGGTCGAAGTCCAAACGAGTTCGGATTTCCTGTCGATGGATGCAGCTACATCCGCAAACACGCCCTTCTCGCTTGCACTGTCAATCCGATCGCTTTCCCCAACGGGCCCGGCGACAAAAACTTTGCAGCGCAGCCAGCACCCGTGAAAGTACAGTTGGGAAAGCGCCGTACTCTGCGGGCCTAGCTTTATCACTGCGGCTTTGCGTTCGTCGGAAATGGTGATTTGCCGATGGTAAACAGCAATGCCTCGCTCCGTGAGCGAAGGAGCAGTTGTCACGTCCTTGTTTTTATCAAGCCACTGGCGCATTCTCGGCGTTGAAGTTTCGTACACGTGCGGAACCTCAACTGGCAAAAAAGACTTTGCGTTGAACGCGGGGAGCACTTGATTATTCCCTGGAGGTGGTTCCGATGCAGATGCAGTGTCGGTAGTTTTTGCTTTTGGTGCAACTAGTACATGTAGCCGCGGTAAAAGCTCTTGGTGAAGAAACAGCGTATCTTCCGCTGGATCATGCAATCCCGATAAGAACTGGTCCGCGGGACCTTCCACGGCCAGAGTCTGGCGGTTTGCATTTTTTGCCGTTGGATTTCTTGCACGTATTATTTCCCCTGTGTTTGAATCCATGTCGCTCCAGTAATAGGAAGATTTCGCACTACCTACTTCCTGTATAGAATCTACTCCTTCGCGCTGCTGCGAGTCCGGATTTCCAGCACCCGCACTGTTCCCGAGAAACACGTACCCCCAATCATGGAGAAACTCTCGTTTGCTACCACCAGTAACACCCTGCGACTGTGACCCGTCGGTCGATGCACTCGTGGCCCATGACGCTCCTGCACTCCAAATCAACAAGAGCCACGTAGTCGCGATTGCAAAAGGCCCGGATTCCAGAGTTCGTCGCATTTTTCCAACTGGAGGCGACGCAGACATTCCGGACCGAATCACGTGGCCTGGTCCAGGAAGTCACAGTCTAGCATCTACCCAGCGTGTATCTGTTACTTATCTTCACATTATGTGTGAACTCCCCTGTCTTCGCGCCTCCAAGATTAAAAAACTTTTCACGAGTGACACTACAAAAGCACAACTTTTTTTAGTACATTGCCAAGCTCATACATCGCAAGATCGGTTCCTACTTGCAGCTCTCGTACTCGTAAAGTGAGTTTGCAGATCTTAATCGTTCTTCGTAGGCAATGGGGCGCGTGGAAAAATGCGGATCTATGTTGGGACATTGTTGAACGAGAACTCGGGAACAGACACTGCCACTCGTGTCATCGCCTACCGGTAACGATCTATCACATCAACAAAAAGCAAGCGCAAAAGTTTCAGGCAAGAAAGATGATCCAGTAGCCAAGACGATCAGGTCCGATGCGATGTAAAACAACCAGCAAGATGATCCAAGGAAGAGCGCGTAAAACTATAAACATTTTGACAAAATACACACTCAAATTACCGATCATGGTCGTTTTGTTTTGGTTTACAATCGCGAAACAACTTCTTCGCTCTTCCCGAACCCGACCTCCAAGAAGAAGAACCGATGAAGAAATACAGCAGCGATCTTCATATGATATCGACGGTACAGCAAACAAGTATCGCGTCGCAAATCACGCTCACCCTCACGACCTTCGAGGATGGCCCGGGCCGCTGCCGCTGCGCAGCTGTTCTTAGTGTGCATCATTTTCGTCATCCGTTAAACCCGTAGAAAGGATTCTAGCACGAAGCATGATTATCTTGCGGATCCTAGTCGTCCTACTACCTAGGCCCCTGCATGTCTTCAAAGCTCAAGTCTTCATCGCGCTTTAAGATATCCACCCATCAGGCGTCAAAATGTAGTCTAGCTTCTGATCCCAAGCGCACTCGACGCCGTCCGGAAATTTTTCAGGCAATTGCTCTCGAAATCCATACCCGACGAGAACCGCACGGCGAGGCTTAGGATTCAGTTCCTCATCTCTTGGGCAATCGAAATCGTCTCGATTGCTATTCCCATACTCGTCATTCAAGCCTTTTTGTTTTTGTAGAGCGTCGCGCTCTACCTTTCGCGCAGATAGGTTCTCTGCGATCCATCTGTCGTAGTAGCCTGCGCCCTGTCCTATTCGCGACTTTGATCCTGCAGAAAAAGCAACACCGGGCACGACAATGACGTCCATAAGTCTTGCAGCTTCAGCGTTGGCCTCCCGTCCGTCTTCGGTCGCAAGGTCTAGCGGTGGCTCGGGTATGCCGTAAGCTGAAAGGACCAGGCATTTCTTGATTAGATCATCGAGCGGGCCCAGCAACTCGGCGCCATCGACATCGTACTTGTGGTGCGGGGGATCATCATCTTCAGCTTGCTTAGGACTAAATTTTTCGGCAACTTGTCTTGTCGTGTCCTGTCCAATCGCCGCATGGAGATATTCCGCGTCTTTACCGCGTCTTCTACTCGCACTGTCCTCGCTATTCTGATTCAGGGAATCTTTGCCGGCTCCCGCCTTCAGTTCAGAAAATCCCATGCGCTCAGGTCCAGACACCGTAGGCAGAAAAACGCGCTTTCCATCTTGGAATAGAGCCGTTGCAATGACGTGTTCGGTCCACGCCTCTCTACGGCCCTTCTTTTGCATGGGCAGATATATGCCCACACTCGCGGCGTTTTGGTAAACCTCGCTGTTGAGAAAATGCTTCTGCAGTGCGGCACATTGGTCCGCGACCTCTGCGTCCGAGAGCACTCGAAGCAGCGCGCGCACTTCCTTTCGCAGCTGCGATTTCAACATTTTTGACCGATCAGCGACTGGTGGTGCCACGGTGCCCGCCATAATTCGGACGCTCGGGCCGATTAACTGAAAAGATCACCAGAACGAGTTCGCTATTTTTGCTTTTTCTCAAGCTTGTGATGAGTCGAGTCAAAAGGAAAGGACGCGGCACTAGTTGTGCGTAACGGTTGTAACACTCACAGCAATGTTACGAAAGGAGGAGCTCTGCCAGAGGCTGGTGGTGGAACGATTGCTTCAGGTGCAGCTGCAGGGAAGTGGTACAAGCGTCGCACAATAACCGTAGTAGTTCGCTCATGTAGGAGATAGCGGTAGGAAACAACTCTCTCAATTTGGATTTAGTCCACGTTAGGCTCCTTGTTAGGCACTGGCACTTCGCTCGCGCGTCCTCTTCGTCCGCTCTTGCCGCACCTGCATACAAAGAAACACACACATCTTGAAAACCAGTGACGAACGCATGTTTTTACAAAGCACGTAGATAAGTCCGCCTGTTGCTCAACCAATGCCCATTATTTAATGGAGAATAGGAGCAGGCCCAGGCCCGCGTTGACAACAGGAAAAAGAAATAAATCCACCACGACGCAGCGCGACGCTTTCTCTCCTCGATCATCGGCACCTCTTTCAACCTCTGACTCTGACCGCTTCGCCTCATCCTGGTCTTGTGATCAATGAGTTTTCATTTTGATCGGAACCGAAGCCGAACGCATGACATGGGTTGGCTGAATCGGGCGAACACAGCGGCTACGTGTCACTCAGCGTTACAAGTCAACCGGCGAGAACAAGATTAAAATTAAGATTTAGACTAACACACAATCAAATTTAAGAAGGCGGTCGATAGGCCGCGCAGCGGGACTACGTATCCCACCAACAAGGCGTCGGTGGAAGCGCAATCGGGTGCAACACTCATTCAGCTCAGTCACACCCATCCCCTCGGCGCGCCGAAGGAATGGATGCGAGCACATCAAAGCCGATGAACGGTCGGGGGCCCAACCTACCATGGGCGGCCAGACAGGCTGCAACTGGAGATGAAGACGGGCAACATAATCCCGGGCCAGCGCCGATATTACAGAACTAAGCAGCGCACCGCGCGCGCTATCGGGCTGAAAGCGGCCCACCCATGAATCAGGAACGGAACCCGGCCGCCAGCGCCTGCAAAGTAAGCACGCGCGAGGCCACATCCTAGGCAGCCCGGCGGACGACCGGCCACCATTCGCGCCCAGACGCACGACAATACCCCAAAGGCCGCAGGGGCTTGCTGGGTGGCAGGCCGACGGGCGGCCGCAGGCGAGCGGGGCCGTTGTCCCCCGCACGACGAGGCTGGCGGGGGCGCCTCTCTGTCTCTGGCGCGCTCGGGCGCGAATGGAAAGCGGCGAGCTGTTCCCACTCTTCCATCGATATGCCCACAAAGCAAATCACGCGCGCAGCCGGCTTCCTCTGGCGGGTTTCCACGGCGCACCCGCCGGCCGCGCAAGCGTTCCCGACGCGCCAAGACCTAGGCGCAACAACTGGAGCACGCGGAAGCCGGCGCCCCTGGATGCCTGCGCCTGCGTTACTCACACTCTCCTTGCTCGCGCTGCTCGCGCCGGCCCATACTAACTCGCTGCCATTTCTGAAGCCTCAAACTAGGCCCAAGAAAAAAACGGCACTTTTACTCTCCTGAGATGAAGATATACGCTCGGAATTAAGTATGATGCGGGAAACCAACAGACTAGGGCGGTAGGTTCCTCTCGTCACTAGTTTTCCTCAACATGCTTGAGATGGGTCGAAGCCAAGACCTGGTCTTGGCTCTCGCGATGAATACGCAACACTCACAACATCAATACGCAAGAAACAAGAGCGAGGCTGGTGGAACGCTTCCTGTAGCAGATGCAAGCGTAGCCATACAACCACAAACCAACACCAGCGCGGTAGAGCGGCACACAGGGCCTTCTTGTTCTTTAACGCATACTCTTTTGCTAGAAAGGTGCCAATTGCCTCTCAGCAGATTTTCAATTCGGAAACGGAAACTATTACAGCCCTCGTCTACTTTGTTCTGGTAGTGGTAGATGCAAAATGGTTTCTCCTTCTGTCGCGACGAAAGAAACCTGTAGAGCCTAGGACCACGAAGGCGGTCGTCATCTTGATCTGTATCATAAACGTAGAGAATAGATGCCGTAAAGGTAAACTAGATACGTATGTTACTTATTCGCAACATCTACATCAGTGGAAACTTGTTTAATATTGTCTTTGCTAAAAGTAAAACATCAATTCCGGATGCTGATCATGTTACAATACTTTTGTTTGATGCAGTTTTAAATCAAAGTATTCAGCTTCAATCACCCAATCAAGTTCTCACTACAAGTGGCGTTGGCTCCAGGTTCAGAACGGCTCGACCGGATACCCAGTGTTCAGCGGACTGCAGGTGTTCACGCGTCCCCACAGCAGCGCCTCCTTGAGCGCGACACAGCTCTGCCCGTCCTCGAGAAGGAACGAGGGGCCCCGGATTACTTCGTTGCTGAGCACGCTGACCGGCGCCTCCCTCTCCGAAGGTAGCAAAGACCCAGCCAACATCATGGATGGACCGCCGAGACCTGTTGTCAAGAATCAATGATGGGACGAGTCTTCTTCTCTAAGTCATTCTATCCGCTCCGTCCGATTCAAGAGAGAACTCAAACAGCAGGTAACACATGAACACGCAAGATATGCATGGATTCCGCGCGGTCGCGGTGCTCGAGGTGGAGACGTTCTAGAACAACAACTTTTGGGTGCTGAATCACCACAAGGATTGCCAGACGAACCACAGTGGCAGCCAAGCAACGTACAACTACTTACCATTCCAAACTTTGTCCTCGATCATGTCTAGGAGCCAGTGCGCGTTTGCCTTGTTGCCCAAGGCTGGCGAGACCGCCGTCGGATTGTTTGCAGCCGCGCTGCTGACCCATGCGAGGTGGTCCTGCACCAGTTTCATCAGGCTGGTGGGTATTTCCGCCCCCTGAACAATGCCGAGCTTCTCCATGGTTTTGACATCCCGCGGAAAGCACTTTGCGTGCATGACGGCGTCCAAAGCAAACAGCTCCGCCGCGGAAACCGGAAACGCCAGCTGCCGGTGCACGACGATGTTTTGGATCGTCTGCGCAAACGCGTGTAGCACCTCCACGTAACCACTGGTGAGCGCCACCACAAAGCCCGAATACGCGGCACACGCCAGAAGGGACACGACCACCTGCACGGAGAGCTGGGTGAGATTGCAGCACTCGAGAACGGCAAGCAGGGAGCGGACTTTTGCGAGGTCGCCGGTCTCACGTGACGCAATTTCGATGATCATCGTATCGAGCGCCGTCTGCGCCGCCCACTCAAACTCACCGAGCTGGAGCGCCAATTTGGTAAGCTCGATCGAATCGTGTGTCGGCGAAGCTTTCATCCTGTTTGCGTTTTTGATTGGTGTGCGTGACACGTCAATATTTTCGTAAAGTTGTCGTGCAAATTTTTAGCGCAGCATGATGGTCACGGTCATAACACAGCCGAAAACTAAAGCTACCGGCTGCAAAAACTAGAAAAATAGGTACGACTCGAATCGCCCCCGCAATTCTTGATTGTTTCCGTCCACGCCCAGGTTTCCGCCCGCGCGGGGGCAGCGAACCCCCTTTGCCAGGAGCTCGGCGCGGTGGAGGCTGGAATCCGTTCCGCTCATGGTAAAGAGCTCGTGTGCGCGCTCGCGTAGCTTGTAGCGCTCACACTGCTTCGCCAGCAGCTCCATAGCCATCCGAGCCTTCGTTGAGATTTCAGAAGAGTCGAACGAGGAAGATCGATCGCGACCCCTTGATGTCGGTGGTTCGCCGCCGCTGCCGCGCGTCGGACTGCGCGATCCGCCACTTTCTCGCCCCGGTGAGCCCCTGTTGCTCGATGAGGACGCGGTGGGCTTCTTGAGCAAGCTGTAGCAGACGTGATACAACAGTATCTCGTTGCCGCGTAACAACATGTCCAACCCTGCTTCCACCGCGTTCACCGAGAAAAGCAGGCAGGCGGCGGCAACCGGCTCTGCGCTTGCATAGTATTGGTCCGCGAGTTTCTGTGACACCGAATGCAAGCGCTGGGTGCGCGAGGAGCCACCGCCTGCGGAGGAAGAGCTCGCGGTTGCAGAAGTTCCGATAAGCACACCGCCTGGACCTCGGATAGGTGAGTTGCTTCCAGCGGCGCCCTGATGTTCATCCGGAGGAACACTATGCAGCTGAGCCATCACTCCTGCACCGCCACCGCTTCCGCCCGCGACAGCAGCCGAAGTGAAAAACGCTCCGTCGGCTTGCGTCTTTGCGGTAGTGAGTGCTTCACTAAGCATGCTTTCGCGCAAGTACCCGTCCACCAGCTCGTCGGCGTTTTCCGTCGCAAGCAGTCCGACTGCGCGCCCCTCGATCGAGAGACAGTAGCCCTTGCGCTGCAGGTAATCGCGATACATCTTTTGCCAAAACTCCGTGGACACCATAGGCGCCGCCATGATGGCCTTTTCCCACTGGTCCGCTTGTGCCATGAATTCGCAGTATTGGCGCACGTTGCCGACGCGCAGCATCATTTGCGCGGCGTTCTGCAGCCGCTCCTCCTTCTTCATGCCGCTCCCGATTTGCCCTGACTGCGACGCCAGGGAGAGTGCCTGCGTCTTCACCTGGGCAGATAAAACGTTCTGGTGCCAGATTTGCGTAGAGGAGTCCACGGTCAGTGCCGCGTTCACACTCGGCCGCCGATTGAGGTCGGGGCGCACGTTCATAATCACGTCAACGTCCAGCCGGCCGCCCGATTTCTTCGGCCCGGCGGTGCACGAAATCGTCCGGTGGATGTCCATTTCATCAGTGCCTGCAGTTCCGGCGCCCATGCTGGAAACACCACTACTCGGTCCTCCCGCCACGCCAGCTGTTCCTAGCGTGATGCAGTGTTCCAGCAACGCCCAGATGTCGTCCAGGTTGGTCCGAAAGTGGAAGAAGTTGAAGAGCAAGCGGTACACACGGAGCACGCGCAGTGGGTGCGGCGGCAAAGTGCTGATTGCGTAGAGCAGCCGCTGGAAGCCCTCCCCGAACAGCAGAAGGTTCTCCGTGTGCGGGTACAGCACCGGCGACCGGTTCGTGGAGGTTCCGCCCACCGTGATGTGCTTCATGAAGGGCCACGTGGCCTCGATGGGGTTGGGACTCGGCGGCGTGTTGGTCGCGAAGAACTCGGGGCCACAGACCGAGGGCACCGCGTCCGCACTGCCGGCCAGCTTGCCCAGTTCCTGGGGCGCCAAGACACCCGCGAGCAGGTACGGTGCGGCGATTTCCTCCAAAGTCCAAAAGCGAATGGTGGTGTCTCGCGAGCTGGAGACGAACATGAAGGGCCGCATGGGGTGCGCATCCAGGCCATACACGTCCGCGTGGTGCTGCCGTGCCGTGTACAGACAGATCCCCTGCGAGACGTCCCACACCCGGATGCTCTCGTCCCAGCTCCCGGACAGCAAAATTTGGCACACCTCCGCGTGCCAGCACAGGGCGCGCACGAAGCTCCGGTGTCCGCACAGGCGGATGCACTCGCACTGCTTGTCCACGTCCCAAACGCGGATGGTGGTATCGTCGGAGCCGGAGGCAAGCAAGTTGCGGAAGAACGGGTGCCACGTCACGTTGAAGACCCTGCCGGTGTGCCCGGAAAGCGCGAACAGGGGCTGGTGGTGGTGGGGGAAGACCTTGGTGTCCCAAACGCGAACCAAACCGTCCTGGCAGGCGGTGCAGAAAATGTTGGTGCTGTGCGGGTTAAACGCCACACCGATGACCACCAGGGGGTGTCGGTACGACCGTCGTGGACACTTGTCGCTGATACTCGTGATCACCGCGAAATTGTCGCACCCGCCGGTGGCAATCAGGTTCGGGTCATCGGGACACCAGTTCAGTCGGTACGACCTACATAAGTAGTTAACAGATAATTCCGATGAAAACTGAATAAACTGCAGTTTGGTATTATGACGGCAGCAACGTGCCCAACGCCCAACTTACCCATGGGGGATCAAAAAAAAAATTTCGGTGTGTCTTAGATATATGATATAGATATTTCTATAAGATAGGCAGTTGAACTAGTTATATAATTTAAGTAGCTAGAAAAGGCGTTTTTTAAGGGTTTCAGGACGCTACTCCGCCGATATTCAGCTCCACGGATTCGCCTCGGTTGTCTCCACGCCGGGGCGCCGGGATACTGCACACGAAGGCGTGGCGTAGATAGGGCACGAAGCTTCGCAGGGGGCAGAGGATCGGCGGCCAGCTTCCTGTGGCGAGGCAGCGGGACGACATCATTGCGACGGCCGTGTCGCACCTTGCCGCCCTTTTCTGTGTTTTGTTTGTGCCTTGCTGCCGCTTTCCGCCGAGCTTGGGAGCCATTTTGTGAGGCTATCCAAAGCGCCCCGGCTTCGTTGTGTTCCTACCTGGGCAGATTGACCTCACACAGGACAACACGAGAGTCCGGGATCCCCGTCCGCGATGCCCCTCCGAGATGCCCCCTTTTTGGCAAGGGACAAAACGACCACAGCGTCGGGGCTAGGGGTAAAAGTATGCCCTGCGGGAGGCCCTGTGTGGACCCCCTCCCGCGGACCCCCCCTCGCGCCCCCGCCTCTCGCCTGCGGCCCTGCAGGCCGCGGCCTGCGGACCATGTTGCACTTGGCTTGCGGGTGCTTTTTGGCGAACCCCCCCTGGCAGCAGATGGCACGCTGCTCAGCCTTTTCTCATAAGCAGGGCGCGCGGCTTTGCGTGTCTACCGTGCCGGCTTGCCGTCAGCCATCCCCTGGATGCGGCTAGCTGCGCCAAACCTTCCACAGGCCACGCACAATGGAAAGCGCGGGCAGTAGACAGACGCTACGCCATGGGGCTCTTCCTCGGTTTTTTGCTAGGGTTCTGCGGCGAATCCGTGGAGCTGGATATCGGCGATGTAGCGTCCCGGAAGTTGTAAAAAACGCCTTATATAGATAAGCTATTAACCTAGCTAAAAACAAATCACTTTTACTAGCTAGTCAATGTACCACTACCTTATTTACACCGAAAAAAAAAAACCGCAACCCTTTGGGTAACTTGCCTGTTGGGCACGTTACTGCCGTCATAGGTATAGTACATTTTTGGTCTTCACTACACTACCTAGACGACGATCCTAGACGCAGCAAATGAAATGGCAGTACTAGGATCAGTTTGTCGACTTCAAATCTTCCATTCGGCATGCCCACCAACATGTTCATCACACGAAAAAACGAAAATCTCTTTACGCGAGGTTCCCGTCGTGGGCTTTGTATTTGAGAATGAGCGCGCCGGTCTCTGCCTTCCACACGAACAAGTTCCCATACCCGGACACCGCAGCGATCATGCTGCCGTCGCGACTGAAGGCAACCGCGTACAAAATTCCGTCCCCGGCGTACATTTCGCGGAAGCTCTCCCGCTTGGCCACGTTCCACAGCCGCACGTACCCGTCGTAACTGACGGTCGCGAACACGTTGCAATTTGCGGGGCAAAAGCACAAGTCAAAAATCGTCTCTGAGTGCGCCGCGCTCGTGGTGAACTGCGGCCGGAGAGTGGTGATCTTGGTCGCACCGACCCCCCCGGTCCCCGTGTTGGAGGTGACGTCCAGCAGCGTAACCGCGCCATTCGTGTGCGCCACCAGAAGTCGCTCCGGGTTGTTGGTTGCAAACCGCGTCACCGTGAAGATAGGGCCCTGACTGCCGGCCTTCAGTTTTTCCAGCGGCTTCGGTTGCGAGGCGTTCCACAGCTGCAGGGTCGCAGTTTTGGCATGGCACGTGAGGAAGTTACCCGGCTGTGATGGCAACCAGAGAATCTTCTCCACCGGATTGAAGTTGCCGCTGGAAGAACTACCTCCCGGCGCGGAACCATTGCCACCGTTGCCGCCACTACCCGCTCCGGAAATGGCGCCGCCGCCCCCGAGGCGCTCGAACGCGAACAGTATCGCGCCATCGGCGGCCGCCAGGAGAAAGAGCGACCCATCGCTGAAGGCCGTGATCAAATAATCCTCGCAGAGCGGATCCTTCGCCATGCAGTCGCAGCGCGGGCCCTGCTTGGACTGTTCGGGGTGCGTGAACAGAACCTTTTTCGTTCCCATCACGACGTTGCCGCCACTCTTCGCAGGCGGTTGCTGTGGACAGGTCACGCGGCAGAGCTGGCCGTCGTGCGTGCCCACGAGAAGCTCGTCCGGCCCCTGCCACTCGAAGCAGCTCCACGCGGCGTCGGAGAACTTGACAACGCGATTGGTATCGGAGGCCCACCGGTAGAGCGACCCGTCGGAGTATCCCATGCACAGCACCTCGGCCTGCGGGTTCCGCTGCAGTCCTTTGTAGCGCCCGTTCCACCGGATACGATCGCACAGCGCCACGCCGACCAAAGAACCTTCTGCTGCGGGGTGAGCCACCATCTCCTCGCGTTCCTCGGCGACATTCCAAATCACCACCTGCAAGGAAAACGTATTCGTCTTTTTTCAACACATTGACATTGCACGACGCGTCTTCGACTAGTACATCGCAATGTCCATACTACCAGCTAGCGCTCGCTGCATAGAAAGATCTGCAACGAAACTCAAACTTCATTCATACTGCGAAAAATGTGGCGCGGGCGCCCACTTCCAAGTAATCTCCAGTATTAGCAGCTAACAGAGCAGGTCTAGTACAAGAACAATATATCAACTTGTCCTTGTACCTTCCCATCTGACCCGGCGGTGACGATCGCGTTGTAGTTGTGGGACGCCCATTCCAGGCAACGGATGGATTTCGTGTGGCCCGTCAGGATCTTCCATAGTCTGGGCTTGTCGGTGCTGTCTTTTCTGTAGAGGTAAACGGCAAGCGTTGATGCGTAAGCGAAGTAAAGCGTTCCCCCGTCGACCGCAGAGCCTATCACTTCCTTGTGCCAACACTGCACCCCCGCGGGCAAGATGTTGATTTGCCGCATAACCTCTCTTCGTCTTCCACAAGCACGATAACGAACTGCTGCTGAATCTTCGACTTGTTCCGTTTTTGCTTTTCGATCACGAGAACCGTCATAATAGTCACAAACTCGTCATCATGTGAATTCAAGTTCAGTGCGAAAGCAAAGGCACAGCAGGACGAGAAGGGGTGTGATCATTATGTTTCTGCTACATGACGATGAGTCGCAGCTTGTAGCCTATCGTATCATGTTTTCTCTCCTTTTCGTGTTGAACTTCGTAATTTTCAATTTTATGTACGTATTACTGCCTCGTCAAAGAACTAGGATCTCTTGCTTCCGACGTATTGGCAGCACACCAAGGAGTCCTGCCCGAAATCTTTGCTAAACTTGTTTGCGGCAGGGCGCGGGTAGCGCAGGTGGTCGTGGTCATGATCGCGCACCGGGATGAACACAGCTGAATATGCGATGATCACACAATCGTCCATCAGTGCCCACCTCCACGCGATGGTCAGCCCAGCGTGTTTCGTGAGTGGGTACTTTGATTTCATCACTGCTATGTCGTATGTCCCTTCGCCTAAACGCAAAATTTGTTTTGAACTTCACCGGAAACAAACAAAATCACAACTTGAGTGTCAATGCGTCTGCGGCCCACGTGGTCAAAAGAGCGTAAGTACGGCAACACCAATGCAATCGTCGATCAGCACAATTATACTAGATACCATAGATTATAATCGGAAGGAGCGTGCCGCGACGCGCGGCAGCATGCAATCTGATTTCTTTTTTACGGACAGCAGCATATTCTGGTGATCTAACGGAGCACTATGCATTGTGTTCGTTTTCATTCTGCAGCAAGCCACCGCTACCGTATACAGTTCCCGTGTTCGGATATCAAAGTCATCTAAAATTTAGGCTTCGTAAATCACTTGCATACAGTGGTCACCAGGAGAAACATATGACTGCTCGATAGAAGGGTATTAGACTGAAGATCAACAGAAAACTATACCAGTGAAACTTTGAGTGCTAGTGAAACCATATGCATTTCCGACATGCGAGGAGTGCTAGTGAAACCAAAATCATAGCAAACAAAGGAAATGGAAATCAATGAAATTTTTCAGACAGCAATATCAATATTACGAGTAACGCACCTATAAGTTGCTAACCCTCTACTTGAACAAACAGAAACACGGAACAGTACAAGTGGATCAGACCCAAAAATAGTGTACCAGTTTCAAAGCCTGAAAAACCGCGTGTCCTGGTCCTCAAACCAGGACCACAAATCTCACAGGTAGAACATCCATATACGCTAGTAGTGCCTCCGTGTCAGAATCAGAAACTAACAGAGTTTGATCATCACTAAATCTAAATGGAAATACTACGTACTTCTTGGTTGTGCATGTGCTTGTGGTGCTGGTCACCAGCACCACAAGTCAGTCATCTTAATAGGAGGACGGGTAGAGATATCGCGGAGGTGTATCCACGTCACACTCATTCCATCGTCTCTCTTCGGTACTACATTGCTATCTACCCATGCGTGGTCAATTCTAGGTGGAAACGGAAGAGAAAAAACAAGTTCTGCAATCGATTGGAAAAAGTGAATGTATCTGTTCATGGTATTCACACTAAAAAAGCGCAAACGTTTTCTCCGGTACATTCATCGGTCGCTAAGCCGCTCCTGTACCAGAACGATAATATGCGCATAGGAACAGAGATCATGAAGTAGGAATGGAATCCATCTCCATGATATTTTTTTATTGATACTTTGAGGCCCATTCTGACAAAGGTATTTCTATATCGAATTCGGGCGCCAGTATGCAGCGCAGGCATTAACTGCGAAAATCTAGTCTACAGAAAAGCCTATGCCTACACACCACTGCTGACAACAACATCAACAAGACATCTTTACTTGTTTGGGCTCTGCAATGCCAAAACTGTGAAACTTTTTTCTTGAAAGTTGTATAGCACAACAAGAAGAGTGAACAACACACTCATGAAGTTGAAGTAGAAGTGCCTAGCAGATGCAGCTGAATTCGAGCTGCGCGGTGACCATATAATGGTCGGAAATGTGATCGTCGCTCAAGAGGGTACCAGTTGCGTCACGTCCGGAGGTTGAGGTCTGCCCACAAGAAGAAGAACCAGATGGAAAATTGTGTTCGTCCGATCCGCCAGTAGTTGTGCTGCCACTGGTCGAGCTCCCACTAATTGATGTTTCGTCCCTTTCTCCACCACTAGAGCAACTCCGATTCGCATCTGACACTGCATTGCCAGAAGCCACCTGCTGCGTAGCTGCACGGACATCAACATCCTGGGCTCCGACATCCCGTCCTGGAACGGCAAAGCGCAGGTCTTTCCGCACTTCGGAACGAACGTGTCGGAAGTGCTTGCTGCTGTAGAGCACGTAATCCAGCTTTGCGTGGTCGTGGTGCCAGGGTTCGAATTTTCTGATGAGTCCGTTTTCCGAGGGATTGGAACTCAACTCCCCACTGCAGTCCGCGTCGCCGCACTCCGGGAAAGTGTTTCGAAGAAAAAAGTAGGTTTCCGAGTTGTGGATGATATTGAGGTCTCCGAGAATCACGAAGGCCTCGCCGTCGTAGCCGGGTTCCAGCTGTTGCACCAACTCGCGGTATTCGTCAACGATTTCACGCAGCTGCAGGATGTTCTTCATCCGCGTCTTCACCTCGTGCAACGACCCGCCGTAGTGGGCGTGCAGGTTGAACACGCAAAACCCGCGCGAAGCAGCTGCATCGCTCTTGGGAGATGGTGCTGGAATTTCATTTTTTGCATTTTTGACGTGATGATTCTGAACGTCGTCCCCGGAGAAATTTCTGCGCAGTTGTCCTTCCAGTTCCCCTTGCCCTGCTGTGTTCTTATTTCTTCCACGACCTACTTCAACGTACGCTGCTTGCACGCCCCGCCGCACGACGCTTTCCAAGCCGCCCGTTGCTTCCAAAGCTACGGTGAGACCGTGCCTGGTTGGGTACTTCGACAGGAGAAAAAGTCCGTCGCGCAAACTGCAGTGCGAACGAAACCACTTCTGCAGGCCGCTCAAATCGCTCGGCTCGTATCTCCCGAACACGTCCAAGTCCTTCATGGATCGAAAGGGAAGATCAACATTTGGGAGCTGTTTGTCCTCGGACGAAGATGGTGCGGCTGCTACGTTTCTCCGCGGACTGCTGGGACTGCTCTCCTCCTTGCAGTCGGCGGCCCTGGTCGTCTCACAGGGTACCACACCGAAATCCTCGTCTTCGTTTGCTACCACGACAGCAGCTGCTTGGTAGCCTGCAGACGCTAGCTGACCGGTGTGCGTTGAAGATGTCATTTCGATCCCACCGCAAGAAGTAGCTTTTGTATTTGTTGTCGCTGGCGATAGGGAAACTACAGGCGCAGCGGGAAAGGTCTCGAACTTTGATGTCCCAGCATCGCATCGCTCTCGCTCAGCTATTCCTATTGCTGCAACGGCTCGTGATCGTGCACGGTGTTTACTTTTGCCATCATCAAGATGAGGATGATCTTCGTCTTCCAATATCGCTGGCGCAGGACTCCAGCCACAGGCGTTTGCGTTGGCCCTGCTGCTCATCTTAGCTCTCCTTGTAACACCGGTAGAAGCGGTCGTTGTCGCAGACGGGGCAGAGGTATCGCGAATGCTACGAAAGGCAGAGAAAGAGCGCTGCATCCTTTCCGCTTCGTCGTCCGACGACGAGTCATCGCCTTTTGTACTGGCCAAGCTGGAGTCGGAGCTCGCCGTTGTGCTTCTTGCTGAGGGATTCAACAGATTCAACTTGCGAGCGTACAGCCCGGCCGTGCAAGAACTTGCAGGTGCGGAAGAGCAAGAAGCCATCTGCGACGCAATGAAACAAACCCCTGCATGGCAATCAGCGCGGCTCTCGTCCAGACCGACGGCGACGGTAGAGCTGGAGGAGCAGCTGCTTTCGTGGTCCTTCAACTCGATTACTTTTTTCCCAGCAAATTCAATCGATGGAGTAATCGGGGGACACCACGCACTCTGGCTTTGATAATGAAGATTTTCCGCGTCACCACTACGAAAAAGACTTGCTCCGTTGGCGACTCGCTGCGCGTCTTCCGTGCTACCACAACCGGTTGACGACGAGGAAACAATTGCAATTTGTCCTGGTTCCGGCAGCCTTTCAAATGGTAGTTGGTGTTCCTCTACAACTGCGGGTGCAGAAGCACGATAATTGTTTCTGCACTGCTTCGGTTCGCCATGCTCATGTGCACCTTGCCCTGTTGTGAAATTTTGTATGGACAATGATGATGTCATATTAAAGAGGTGCGTTGAAGTACGTTGGTTTTCTTGCTTCGATACCAATCAGATCGGCCATGATGGCGGCCGCGAATGCGAAAATAAACTTCCGCTACTTATGGCATAGCCATAGCCACAATGAATACGAGTAGTGCTTGCAGCTCGCAAGAAGACGTATAAACTCAAACAGTCGAATACTTTTTCTCGTCGGGCACACCTTCAGCAGCGCTCGCCCGCAAGAAATGGCCGGACTCACCGCGACGCCCCCCGCTGCCCCCAGCAACGTCTCCTGGTACACTTTCATGTCTGCTCTTGCTACACGACATCCTAAAGCGGCGCTTCCCGCTTGTATGGTGGCGTCCTGCAGCAGCTTTTCACCAGAGAAGGTGGAGGAGAACGACCGCGATTTTGCAACTGCGCTCGAAGAAGGAACTTCTTGTATTCTGTAAGCGTCCGGGCAGTTGGTCGAAGCAGAGTCACTCGCCCGCTTAGCCGCGTTTTTTTCCGTCGTGTGGAATTCGATATCGATTGCTCCTGGTGCAATGCCCGCTTCATGTAAAGTCGTTAAGCTTTCATCATTCCGCGCAGGTGAAGATCGCTTATCAGTGACAACAAAAGTTGCGGGGTGGCTCGGGTTATTTCCCAAGGTTTTCAGCTTCCGCAGCTCCTCGACCGTGAGAAGATCCCTGGTGTGGTAGTGCGAGCCCCAACCGGCCAGTTCCGAGAAACGATCCAGGTAGCGAACGTCGAAAAGTTCTTGGAAACCGATGACGTCCACCGGCAAGTCGTCTTGCAGCCGCTTTCCAAGCGTGGCGGCCCGCAAGTCGTCGTGGTAGGTCGATTTCGGAAGCCATGCTGCGAAGCTTTTCCCAAACAGGTGCGTGTTGTAGCTAGCGAAGTTGAGTCTCACAACAAGAACTGTCCTATCGTCAGTAGTTGGCAAAGGTTGTTCCGCTGTAGTACTCGCAGTGGCGGGCGAAGGCGAAGCCGAGGGAGAGGATATAAGGGAAGACAGAGAAGACCGCGTCTTCAGACCACCGAGAGGCAGTTGCTCGTCTTGGTTCTCATGATGATGCTCCTCTCGTAGTGTAGGAACGACGGGGCTGTTGGCCGTGACCATATTAGTTTTTGATTTTTTCGATCTTATCGTAAGTGCAAGGAAGCTTCCTCAAGCACTGGCGCCCTGTCTTTACCTCTCTCGAACTACACAAACAGCAGCTCAGGTCAAGGCCCTCGTCCTGCTCCTGCCTCTATTTTTGAATGAAAATGAAATTCGAGTCGCATTTTCAATCGTGATACTCGCGATCTTAGATCTTGCGACAGCAAACAAAACCAGGCGATGATTTTTCTTTTTGCTGGTGTGGAGCTGTTGCTGTGTCTGTGAATACGATGATGAAGTCGGAAATTACACGGGGTCGTCAGAGACAGCGACAACATTCTTTCAAACAAAAATGGGACCTTGTATGAAGCAGCGCCATCAAGCCCGGAGAATGGACCAACTTCAATCAGTTCACCACGCTCCGAAGGTGAACTAGACTGGACGTGAACCGGTAGAGGTAAACGGATATCAAAGTCGTTTATTCTCCTGACGCAAGAATGCCGAGCACCAGAACGCGTACGTAGTATCTACCGATTCCCACAATCAACACTCTCACTCGCTGATTCATATACAACATCTCTCTATCCTCCCCTCCAGGGTCGCTTCGACATCAGCAAAGCAAAATCACGTTGCAGTGGCAATGCAACTGAAGACAGAATCTCGAAACTTTTTCCGAATTTTCCTGTCGCAGGCACGGCGGTCCCGGAAATCATGATTCACACAGACACAGGCTGCAAAAAGACGGAAGAAAAACTACTATCCTCAAGTTGTGGCAGGTAGTTTTTTCCCTCATCGCACGCTCGAGGAATTGGCCGGTGTGCGCACGAGGAAGTGTATCACGAGCGGTACGCCTATTTACGGGCTACGCTTCCATTTTCGGTACCACGCTTGGAATCGTCTTGTAAAGTACTTTGACCACAAGCACAACCTCAACCGAGCGAAATAAATAAACCACCTCGACGAATGATCATGAACGCGAGCAGAAAAGAAAATCACAATCGCCGGGAAGAGGCCCTCTGCCCACCTCTTCTAAGCCAGCATCGCGTGGTCGTTGTCAACCTCAGTTGTTAATCGGGGGTCATCAAAAGTGCTGCTCCGCATGTAACCGTTGGTGGTAGCTGGCGTCGTATTGAATGGCCAAGATGCAGGCGAGAGGCAGCGTGAAGAGGAAAAAGCAGAAGCTCGCGAGTAGCGCCTGGTAGAACCCCGCCCACCAAATACCACTGTTGTCCGAAGCGTCTTTCGTCCACTCGACCAGCACGGCCGACGTGCTATTGCTCGAAACGGGATACAGACTCGTCGCTACGTCGACGGCCTTGCGGTAAAACCTGAGGTAGTGCAGTAGGAACAAGGTAGAGCCATTCGTGGTGTCGTCGTGGGATGCACACGCAACCCTAGCAAGCTATATCTTTATTTTGATTATTTCCGCGAACGCATATAAGGCGACGACTCAAGTCTTATGGCTGGTTCTGATAGCTGCTACCACCAAATCGCTACATTGAGGACGTGAAACAGAACACATTCAAAAAGACCAAAAAACTTGTTGTACCTGTCTGCGCTGTTCATGGGTAATATTTGCAGTACTTCGTTACTGAAGTCGTGCCGAACCAGGCCTGCGTGAGCATCTGGTCCCAACTGGCCACACTGAAATTTATACCTGATTGTGGGCAAACGCAAAAGCAATCATGAGCGTCTGTTTCATCATCTGTCACCAGTGTGGTGATTTTCTTTGCAAAGGGCGTAGTTACGAAGAGGCGGCATAAACCCTCTGTAGTACCACTAAACGAAGTTAGTACTGCGATGCAGTTTTATCTTCTATCGTCTCGCTTTCTCGTCGTCGAAGCGATAAACAATCACCTTACCTGTATTCACAGCAATTTGTGCCTACCGCCCAGAACTGTATTGGTGGTGCGGAAGTGGGGTCCGTGCCCTTTTTCAGCACCGGTGCCACGCAGTACACTTCGCCGTGCGCTTTGAGTCCAACGACCATGGACAGATCGGGCGCAACGTCGTTCTCGAAGGTGATGCCCGCGGCGTCTTGCACTCCGGTCGCAGGGTGGTCCGCTTTCATCTTCAAATACTGCATCCGGTCGCCGAAGGCCGCGTAGCTGTAGAAGTAGCCCTGGGCCAACAGCAGCCCGACTAATCCGCCAAACAGCGTCGCTGGGAGGGACAGCGTACTCACGTGCAGGACGTAGAGGCGGATGGCATTCAGGTTGCTTACCACAATCTGCACATTGAAAACTACCAAGGCGAATCCCAGTACCAGCGTGGCCGCAAACCCGAGGGCGTAGCTGCAGTGCACCCAAAATATGAAAGTACCAACGAACACGAGCAGTGGCAGAAACTGGTACTCCAGGTACTTGGACGGGAGTTTCGCTGAGTGGTCGCCGCGAATGTCCTCTCGACCGGTGTCGCCGATCGAAGTGGCGCGCGCCTTCGCGAGGAGACCTCTGTCAATCCCGCCGGCAGACGTGCCGCAGAGGTACTGCCTCCCGGACATAATTTTTGTCTTCTCCTGTAAGAAGAGAATGCGGTCACGCTGACCGACTGTAGCTCCAGTCGCGGACTATGCGTAGCCGGAAAGCTACCACCTCCGGCACTACAGCTTGGATAATCTGCTGATCGACAATTGTGGTAAGAACGCGACTTTTCTTTTTGCGGCAGGAAAACACGTCGAGGTCGTAGCGTCTCGCCTATGGGTGAAGTGGTCGTGGTCCAACATAGGTTTCATCCTCGAAGCCCCACTTCCATCGCGCGTGTATGTGTAACTTCGTCTCCTTCAAAAAGTTTGAGATCGCTTTCTTGCGGACACAGCTGTTGACGTTCTGCCAGCTTCGACGAGTCCTCATTCATCCGGTCGATTGAAAAAGCACAAGGACAATTTTACTATGTTTCGAAGGTGGTTATATTTTTGTACGAGCGTGGGACGCCGTCCTAACCGTCAGAGGTTTTCTAAATTTTTGACTGCCTCCAAATCGGGCACGACCACGAACGACCTACAGCTTTTATTTATCATCAGCAACACGCGGCGCGACCACCCAATTCAGTGACACGACGAGGTAGACAGGCGGCCTGACTGACTCTCTTGCGTCCGCGCTTGAGATATTGATATGGTCTTCAGAAGCAGTGTCTGCGACTTTTGCAGCCCAGGCCCAGGCGGGGCCGGATAAAATTGTACTTAGAATAAGGTAACAAAGAACTTAGACGTGACCGGGGGGGTCACGTCCGTCCGTCCGGCCGGACGGACGGCACGTGACCGGGGGCAGTGCGGCCTGGGGGCGAGTTCGGCGCTGAATGCAGCAACAGCTGCGGCTCTCGGTCAAGCAGCGCTGGCCTTCCGCCTTGCGTCGCTGCAGTAAGTAGCAGCTATGGGCAGAGGTAGGCTACTCAAATAGGCGGGTCCCGGACTGGACCAAGGTGCAGAGCCGCCGGAGCAAGACAACCGCCGGCCTCGGCGACCGGGGCATTGGGCGGAAGAGTCGTGCCCTTTTTTCGTGAAGGCCGAACTCATGACCTTTTTTTTTTAGTTGGGCGCCCGATCTAGCGCTGACGGCCCCCGGCTGCGTGACCGGGGGCGGAGCGTGGCCAAAAAGAGGCGTTGCTTCAGTGACGTGCCGAGCTCATGACCTTTTTTTTTTTTTTTAGTTGCCCGGGCGCGCGCGTCGCAGAGGCCACCACGTTCGAGCGCCACGACCGACCCCCGGTCACGTGCCGTCCGTCCGGACGGACGTGACCCCCCCGGTCACGTCCACGCTCGTTGTTACCTTATTCTTAACTGCCAGTTGTAGAATATGAAAGTGTGTCCCCCCCGCTCCTCTTCTGTTATATCATTTACATTTAGATTTAGAAGTAATAATAGTTCGATTTTTCTTCAGATATTTGTATTTCTCATTTAGATATCATCTGCTCTGTAGCTCTCCGTTCCCTCCTTCTAGCTCATGCTCCACGCCGTCAAAAAAAGGCACATGCTTCCGCTTGATGATGGTTCTTGTCTACTCCTGACAAAAATTAATTGGCTTGAGTAGCAGGCTAACAGTGAGTGACGGTAGCCTAGCGAAATACTCTGAGAATATTAAGTAGCACGATCGATACCTAGATCAATGTCAACTCATGGTTGAATCAATGGCTCTGCCGCAGAAGAACAACAGTTCAAGTTCTACCGGAGTCGGTGTAGTTGCAGTCCTCGTCCCAAGCGGTTGATACTGATGCTCGAGAAGTGGCACTAGTTTGATTTGCAAATATAATTCACAATATTGATGAGCTCAAGTTGATCGTGAAACTGTCTCTAGGAGGGTAGCGCACTTCTGCGGCGAGCCGCAGTTAAATTCATTTTGATGGTGCGACGGATCTCATCACTCTTACTTTTCCGAAGACAACAAGCACTGACCAGCAAACCTCTAGGTTGAAGTCGTCTTTTTTCTTCCATTTTTTTCTTCTTTGAAATCATACATAACATGAAGCTCTTGTTCGCAACAGAGGCCGACGAAAGTAAGCCGCACACCAGTGTAGATGCAATTGGTAGCTCTAAGTAAAGAAGCTCAGAAAGAAACAAAAGTGAGAGAGACACCCAAATCATTCATTGACGCAAAACCGGTTCATTTATGAGACCAAAATTGAAATTCGTAAATTGATCGCAAAACAATTACAATGCTAGAAGTAGCTATAGCTAGTCGAGTGAAAGCGAGCGAGAGTAGAGCTCCGGAAATTATAGAACAAGAAATCATCAAAGAAAATCAAGTTGAGACTTGAAGTCTGTGAGTCCATCCGTCTCATTGCCTGAGCTCGCTAAGTAGCGGCGAGGTTTCAACATCTTCGGCTGCGTTTCCGGTCCTCAGGGCGATCGCTTTGAGAACCGCAATTACAGCTCCAATCGTCATCAGCCCTAAAGTCGTTACTTCTGCCACGAGTAGCGCGCTCACGCAAGTGAAGAGGTTCATCCCAAAAGCAGCGGCCCAAGTCGTGACGCAGAACACGCAGAGGCAGCTTACGCCAGAAATGCTGGGTGTACCTGTGAGGTTGCAGAGGGCCGAGGATGCGCACTTTCATCATCAAGGAACTACATGCAGGAGTAGGAAAGAAAGGCGTGTAAAAAGAAACTGCAGACAAGGCAGCTGTTTCTACTTACTCGTCATGCTCAATCATACTCATAAAATTACCGAGCAACAAGAGCAAAACATACAGCACCAAGTACCTGCTTGGCGAAAGGTTCGGCTAGCCCAATCGTCCAGTTCGTGGGCGAAGCAAACCTGTAGATGATACATTTACATATGATAAGCACAGATTGTTCTTGGAACTCGGTCTAAATGGAAGCAATTATATGCATCACGACCACCTCCACCACGATAAAGACAAATCTCTACAATGACTAGATAAAAGTAAGAAAACCCATTATTTAATAGTATCCCGCAATAGAAACAAAGAATAGAAACGAAAAACAAAAACAAAGAATGGAAACGAAAAACGAAAACAAAGAATGGAAACGAAAAACGAAAACAAAGAATAGGAACGAAAAACGAAAACAAAGAATAGAAACGAAAAACGAAAACAAACAATGAAAACAAAAAACGAAAACAAAGAATAGAAACGAAAAACAACAACAACGAAATGCAGACAAAGTGCCCAAGCTTCTAAGCGGCGAAGCCTTGAAAGGATGAGGCCTCGAAACGCCGAAGCAGCGAAGCCTCGAATCAGCGAAGCCTCGACGCAGCGAAGCCTCGACGCAGCGAAGCCTCGACGTAGCGAAGCCTCGAAGCAGCGAAGCTTCGAAGCCTCGAAGCAGCGCAGCCCAGAAGCAGCGAAGCCTCGAAGCAGCGAAGCAGCGAAGCCTCGAAGCAGCGAAGCCTCGAAGCAGCGAAGCCTCGGAGCAGCGAAGCCTCGGAGCAGCGAAGCCTCGGAGCAGCGAAGCCTCGGAGCAGCGAAGCCTCGGAGCAGCGAAGCCTCGGAGCAGCGAAGCGGCGAAGCCTCGAAGCAGCGAAGCCTCGAAGCCGCGAACCAGCGAAGCCTCGAATTTGTCGTTGCGCCGGACCGGAGCGACAAATCCAGGAGTCCCCGGACCCGCCAATTTGTCGCTGCGCCGGACCGGAGCGACAAAATCAGGGGTCTCCGGACCCGCCATTTTGTCGTTCCGCCGGACCGGAGCGACAAATCCAGGGGTCCCCGGACCCGCCAATTTGTCGTTGCGCCGGACCGGAGCGACAAATCCAGGAGTCCCCGGACCCGCCAATTTGTCGCTGCGCCGGACTGGAACGACAAATCCAGGAGTCCCTGGACCCGCCGATTTGTCGTTGCGCCGGACCGGAGCGACAAACCCAGGAGTCCCCGGACCCGTCATTTTGTCGTTGCGCCGGACCGGAGCGACAAAATCAGGGGTCCTCGGCCCCGCCATTTTGTCGCTGCGCCGGACCGGAGCGACAAAATCAGGGGTCCCCAGACACGCCATTTTGTCGTTGCGCCGGGCCGGAGCGACAAAATCAGGGGTCCCCGGACCCGCCATTTTGTCGTTGCGCCGGACCGGAGCGACAAATCCAGGAGTCCCCGGACCCGCCAATTTGTCGCTGCGCCGGACTGGAACGACAAATCCAGGAGTCCCTGGACCCGCCGATTTGTCGTTGCGCCGGACCGGAGCGACAAACCCAGGAGTCCCCGGACCCGTCATTTTGTCGTTGCGCCGGACCGGAGCGACAAAATCAGGGGTCCTCGGCCCCGCCATTTTGTCGCTGCGCCGGACCGGAGCGACAAAATCAAGGGTCCCCAGACACGCCATTTTGTCGTTGCGCCGGGCCGGAGCGACAAAATCAGGGGTCCCCGGACCCGCCATTTTGTCGTTGCGCCGGACCGGAGCGACAAATCCAGGAGTCCCCGTGCCCCCCAATTTGTCGTTGCGCCGGACCGGAGCGACAAATCCAGGAGTCCCCGGGCCCGCCAATTTGTCGTTGCGCCGGACCGGAGCGGCAAATCCGGGAGTCCCCGGACCCGCCAATTTGTCGCTGCGCCGGACCGGAGCGACAAAATCAGGGGTCTCCGGACCCGCCATTTTGTCGTTCCGCCGGACCGGAGCGACAAATCCAGGGGTCCCTGGACCCGCCAATTTGTCGTTGCGCCGGACCGGAGCGACAAATCCAGGAGTCCCTGGACCCGCCGATTTGTCGTTGCGCCGGACCGGAGCGACAAACCCAGGAGTCCCCGGACCCGTCATTTTGTCGGTGCGCCGGACCGGAGTGACAAAATCAGGGGTCCTCGCACCCGCCATTTTGTCGCTGCGCCGGACCGGAGCGACAAAATCACGGGTCCCCAGACCCGCCATTTTATTATTGCGCCGGGCCGGAGCGACAAATTCAAATCCAGGAGTCCTCGGACCCGCCAATTTGTCGTTGCGCCGGACCGGACCGACAAACTCAAGGGTCCCCGGACCCGCGAGTTTGTCGTTGCGCCGGACCGGAGCGACAAAGTCAGGGATCCCCGGACCCGCGAGTTTGTCATTGCGCCGGACCGGAGCGACACACTCGGACGTCCCCGGACCCGCGAGTTTGTCGTTGGCCGCCAAGCCGGTGCCGGACCATGGCCACCAAGCCGGTGCCGGACCATGGCCGCCAAGCCGGTGCCGGACCATGGCCACCAAGCCTGTGCTGGACCATGGCCGGGCCCGCCGCCCGGCGCCAAATCGCGGCCCCGCCGGTGCCAGCATGCAAGCAAGATGGCGGCGAAGGCCAACCTGCCAGCCGCGCCGGTTCCGGATCGTGGCCAAGCCAGTCTGGCGCTTTCAAAATCGCAGGCGGATGGGCCTGCCTCTGCTGAAGCGCCGGAACCGATTTTCCACAGATAGACGCTGAGTCTGTGCTACTATTCATCTAGCGGAATACTATTAAGTCTGCAGGTTACTGGACACGGGAACCGGGATAAGGCTAGTCATAAGCATAAACATAAGCAACAAAAATATATCACCACCATGAACTAAGCAAAACATGCACAAGAAGTACCAAACAGACATCCATTAACATCGCAGCACCCAGGACACCAGTGACGGTATACGCTTTAGTCGTATTTTCGCACTTAGCTCCACCCGCTGCAGTGATCACAAGTACCAGGCACACGAGGACAGGAGTGGCGCATCTCATCAGAACGTAATCAAGGTACTGAAACCAAGCCTGTTCTGGGTCCCTCCAGCACTCTTCGCGAGAAGCAAAGCGAAACGTGTATCTGCAGACAAGCGTACACAGATCAAACAATGCGGCAAGCCCGGAAGCCGCAGCCAAGAAGAGACTGGAAATAACGACGCGGCTCTGTAGTAGTAGTGCGGGGAGTATGTTAATGTTGTCTTGTTCATGCGTGTCATCAGTAAACAGGTACGTCTGCGTCATCATCTTTGTTCTCTGTCTGTCTGTGCTGTCGGTCTATGATTCAATAAACAATTTTTCGTTGTCAACTTACTTACCTGTGCACATGACGAACCGCTGACGCAGTAAAACGTAACTCCGCCAACGGCTGCGAAGGTGACTTGAAACAAACCCAACCAGAACTCGACCGTACGGGCAAAAAAGATTGCTGGAAGCTGATTAGTATTACGTCGCTTGGATTGAGCCAGCTCGTCGTCGAATTCAAATTGAAGCTAGAGCTGCCAATAGAAATACTTTCCTAGGCTGATTACATATAGAGAATGAGAATGTACTTATGACGCGCATAGCGAAAACAAAGTACAGAACAAACGTACCACATCCGCAGAGTGATCGCGTTTGGCGCCTTCGTGAAACTTGTCAAGGTACGCCCGAATCCAGAAGACATTCACCAAATCGAAAAGAACTCCGGGCAAAACAAGCCCGAGCGCGACGCTGCTTGTTGGCGGGCAATCAGCTGCTTCAAGCCCGATGGTAAGCAGGCTTCCAATTGCAAACAAATCCACCGACAACGTGAGCAAAGTGAGGAATGCGCTGATGTGGTACAGACACGCACTGTAACGATAGGTCTGGTACGAATAAAGCGCGACGCTCTCGCGCGAAGTTTCGTACAAGCTCGTGGACGTGTCGACGATGACCGTGGATGCTTTTTTCATGGCGCTCGCACCGCTTTCCGCTAGGTCACCAACCGGTCCGAGAGTCGTGGTATGCCAACTGTCGCCCATCATGACTTGTTTCGTTCCTTCACCGGCGCCGAAGCGAGAAACCTTGCAAGAGCACAGTTCGTACGTCTGTAAAACTAAAAATGAGAGAACGACAACAGGTGGAAACTGCAAAAAGAGCGTAAAAATTGATTCATATCAGCATCATCTCCATAATCATGTTCACACGACACAAGCATAAGACGATATTCCGTCCTGTAGGTACGTCGATCTGTAATAGCTGCTCAGATGCACATTTATTCTTGTTAAATCAGAGGCTTATATCTTGAATGATCACATCAAGATCAAGAACACCAAACAAAAACAATAACGACGCCCATGATTGCGATTGCCGCAGGGGGAGGACCACGCACAGAAGACGAATAAAAAGTACCGGAGTTGTTCCATTCGGCATGCCAGGCAACCAATCGCGAATCGCATGTAGTCGAGTTGAGATCCCCGATGCCAACGTAGAAACACCATTCGAAACGCACTGCGTCGTTGTCAAAACTGCGCTGGAAACGGCGTTCGACAAATTCGACGCGCTACCGCTGATACCTGAAAATAGAGTTTGATGCCGCCGGGGCGAATATATATAGAATGTGCACGCTAGATGAGCAAGACGCAACAGAACCAGGTAGAACAATATGCCAAGAAAATGCAAGAAAAAACAACTTATGCGGCTACGCTACAACAAGGAGTACTCAATTCGAGACCGCCATCCGAAGATTCAGCGGTGGAGGCAGAGTATGTTCGAAGGACTTCGGAACTAGCTCCGTCACAAACTGCAGAAGCTTCTTCATCTCGAGGCCCAGAGTGCGGACCTAAACCAGCGCCGTTCCCGTTTGCGGCTGTGACACGAGCGGTGTGCATTTCAGCTGAACCCGTAACAGTATGGACAAGACCAATCTGATCAACTTCAATCACTTCGTGCATTTCGTCGAAAGATGAAGTAAGAGTTGCATTCGCCATTAATGCTGCTGACTCACTATTTGTTGACCATCCTATATTTTCTTCTTCCTGTTCTCCTCGGGTATGAGAAGTGGACGATGATTCGCCGCAGTTGATTCTTCGATGCGGGTTGCCGTCGAGATGATCGACGTTCGGCCCCGCCTTCTCCATCGATCTCTCCCCTGTGTGTACTTCTTCATGTTCGACTCTCTCATCTGCTCGGATCGTCGTCGAGGATGGAGTTGGACCTGCGTCAGCATCGTTTGAATTTGTCAGCTGTCCCGGTCCAGGCGGACGAGTTCTCGTGGTCCTCGTTGTACTATACCTGCGAGGAAGATTTTTGTTAACAACTAATATTCCGAAGTATTTTATCACAACTAACGCTAACCTCCGAGAAGAACGGGAGTTACTACTTACGTCTTCCTCTTCGAGTTCGATCCCACGACGCGTACGCGAAGGCAGAAAAATAAAAAGTACATGAGCCAGGTACCCGGTCGTTTCTACCATCTCCATCATGACCTGGTGCTCCATCCCTATACATAATATCAAGCTCTTATTTCCACATTTGTCCTCGCATGAACATGATGTACTGCAACGAAATCTTCGTTAAAGTTTCGCGCTCAACTTAGACTGTAGGAACCTACAAAAGATGTACCTTGGGCGTGGGCGTCCCTGGTGAGAGTAGTCATGACCTTGTTCTAATTCTGCATGGCGGCTTGAAGAACCCTCTGCCCTACGTGATCGTCGTCGCCTTGGGGGGAGGTAGTCGTACTCTTCCAGTTGATCAGTGCCGTTGGTGAGAAATGGTCGACTGCCAGTCTTCATAGTACAGCCTGTGCTAGCAATATTACCATTCCCGAAGTGTCGTGTACTATTTCTAGTGGCATCGTTTGCCGAAGCCGAAGGTAGCATTCTGAAAAGTCTATCGTACAAGAAGAAGAATCCTAATCCACGGAGTTCAAATTTTAGTTTGCTAGTTTTTTTTGCGTCCGTTCCCGTGGTGATAGATACTACATGCTTATTTTCATTTATAAGGGAGCGGACTCAGTTTCTCTTTCTTTCTGTCTAGTTCTACCTGTCTTCAATAAAGGAAGAACACGAAGTCATCGACACTTCCATCTGATGTGAAAACAACTTTTCAATTTTGTCTTGTCCCAATTATGGAAAAACAAACACCTCACAAATCTCGAAACTTCAACTTTCTCGATCATCTCGCCAACGTCGTCATCTCAAAAAAACCGTGTCTTGCTCTCTCTATGCGTCCTCGAAGGCGACACTCTATCTGCTCTCGCAGTCGCAAGCATGCTTGCAGGTTACGACCCGAAAACTAAAACAAAACGACACATCCTAGAACGACTGAACGAAAAAGCCAACACTCCTTCTGATGAAAATCAATATCAAAAACGACCTTGCCGAAAACGAATGACAACACTGCTTTGATGCAAAAAAAACAACGGAATTTTTCCCCGTGGCGGGGCTGGCGCGCGCAATTTTTTCAAGTCAGCCCTTTGCTCGCATCTTATGGTGCGCGAGTAACTGTCTGACATTTGCAGCTGATGCTTCCGGAGAGTAAGACCTTTGCGAAAGCCTTGGGGGGCCGATCGGACGTGGCGCCCTCTTCTAAAAAAAGCAGCCGCACTTTCACCGTGACCGGGCTAAGTCGGTCTTTTTTTGAAAATATTTTATTAGAGGCACTCTGGTACAATCGCAGGCACTGGGCCAATGCTTGCCTGCCAGAGGGCCTACCGAGCCAACAGCTTTCAACTTCGTACAAGAAAAGGAGCCAGACATTTTCACCGTGACCGGGCTAGCGCGGGAAGGGACTTTTTTCGAATGGCGGCGCGCTGGTGACATCATGATTCACAGGCGCCTGGCGCTCTCCCGCGCTAAGTAATGCTCACCAAAGTAAGGCCTTAGTTACCGGAAGCGGAACTTTTTTGCACAAAAAGCAGCCGGGACCTTTCCCCGTGAGCGGGCTAACGCGGGCACTTTTTTGGAGTGGCAGCGCGCTGGTGAAATCAAAGGCGCCTTGCGCTCCCCCGAGCTGTTGCGTGCCAAAAGCCCTCAGCGGGAAGGCGTTTTGTTGCAAAAAGAGTAGCCGGGAATTTTCCCCGTCACCGGGCTAACACGGGCGCTTTTTTGGAATGGCAGCGCGCTGGTGGAATCACAGGCGCCTTGCGCTTCCCCGGGCTGTTGCGTGCCAAAAGCCCTCATCGGGAAGGCGCTTTTTTGCAAAAATAGCGGCCGGAAATTTTCCCCGTGACCGGGCTAACGCGGGCACTTTTTTGGAATGGCAGCGCGCTGGTGAAATCAAAGGCGCCTTGCGCTTCCACGAACTGTTGCTTGCCAAAAGCCCTCATCGGAAAGGCGTTTTTTTGCAAAAAAAGTAGCCGGCAATTTTCCCCGTGACCGGGCTAACGCGGGCACTTTTTTGGAATAGCGGCGCGCTGGTGAAATCGCAGGCGCCTTGCGCCTTCCCGAGCGAGCTGCTGCGTGCCAAAAGCCCTCATCGGGAAGGCGCTTTTTTGCAAAAAAAGCAGCCGTAAATCTAGATCTAGATCTACTGGGCGTCAGTCAACCAGACTCTCTTTAGTACCCTAATTCCGACATCGACCGTGTCTGTCGACATTTAGAACTCCTCATACCACACTTGGTCCAGATTGAATTTCACAAAAATCAGAAGCAAGGAGCATGTCGTGTTCCAGTGGGCAACATTCTCACGTTGGCGCTGGCCCAAGAATCTTTTCCAGATCATGTTCCAGCTGTCGAACCCTTTTGGCGTTCCGTTCAAACTTCGCGCGCACAACTCGCGCCAAATATGAAGAATACAAGTCCTCACCGTGCTCGGCCTCTGACTCAGCAGCAGCTGATGCTTGCGCAAAAAATGGGGCGCCACTTACCGGCCACAATAGAGATTGAGGCATCAAGCAATAAGGAGTCTCAAGATAATCTTCTCCTGGAACCTGTACCACGTACCGTTTCCCAAACGCAAGAAGCGATGTAGCCGGAAAAGCCGCACGACTTGCTTCGATGAAAGAAAACGCAGCGTCGAGCGAGCGACACGCGACATGTAGAATGAAAGGCTCAAAACGTACCCAGTATACCGCCGGCTCATGGCTCGGATGGACAAGACTTTGCGCGACGTTACATTGCGCTGTGGGAAGAACCGGGCCGCGAGTAGCTCCAGAACCGCGGTCGCAACCAGCGTTTTCTCCACCAAAGCACATCGGCGTTTCTCTTTCATCTTCCGCTTCTTCCTTTGCCACTTCACGCAGCACGGGTAGATCTTGCTTCTCCGCAGCTCGACGACGCACTGCGACCAAAAAATCGCCGTCCTTGTTTTTTTCAGTGGTCCGTTGTGTGACTTGTTCTCGACGGACTGAGCAGCGCGTCTCCGCTATCAGAGTGGAGGTACTACAGAGAGCAGCGCTTCCCTCGGGTCGACATGTTCGCTGAATCCGATCCTGCAGCGCTCCTTTGGGGTTCCATTCTTCTGGAGTGTGACAAACATGAAACCGCCAGTCGTCGTGATGAGAAACATATTTTTTGGATGGCGGGCCGACATCTTTGAGACTTGCAGTCGTTTTTGGATTGGACTCGGATAATTCGGTGGTCGTCCATAAATACGCACGACCGCTGCAAGAGCTGAGAGTGCAAAAGTCATCTACAGCGTTAACTTTGTTCAGCAACGGGACAATGGATGCATCCCAGGACTTTTTCCCTGACTTGTCGACCTTCCCCAGAATCACGTGCTTCTCGTTGGGAAACGTTCTCCAGATTTCGTGTGCGCTCCTTCTATGACTATGACACGCAGGGCGCAAATCATGGCACGTAGGTTCGCCACGGTGAATAAGGTAGTTGATATATCTACTCCCCGGGCCCGGCGGCACTGAGTTATCGTGCTTGTGCAGTTGTTGCTCGGGCTCGGGCTGCCCTCTTCGGATTAGATGACCGCCTTGTTCAGCTGCATTTTCAGCAAAAGCGCGGGGCTCTGGAGTGTTCCAATTCAACATAGGTCCCCGGTTTTCGCTCTCTTTGCCAGTTTCTTCTGAAGATGCAGAAATCTCGATGTCGCGAAAGGTACTACGAGTTGCAGTTGGACACATCGAGTCTGTTGCTTGCTTATGCTGGCCATTGTCCTCGCCTATGGTGGTCCTAGTTCGATTTATGTCTCTGGCGGGCAGCGTCACCGTATCTGGTGCAACGCGAAATGGAGAAGTGGTCCCGCGACTCTGACTCTCGCCCGTCGAATGATTTGCACGAGACTGGTCTGGCCCATGACCACGGCGGCTGTCGAGGCCACCTAGCATTGGACGAGAATGAAGAGCTCGTCCACGTGAGCGGGTGTCCACAAGAGAAATAAGCTTAGCAGCTCTCACACCGTGCATGCAAATTTCATATTTGGCTTTGTCGTTGGTCTGACAGCTTGTCCCCGTTTCGGTCTCCGCTCTTACGGTCTTCATCGGGGTGTTTGCAGATGTTGGCTTTGCGGACTCGTGGCACATCGAACTTTTGTTCGTCGTAACGAGAGTATGCTCATGCCGCGCCAGGCGATTGAATGTCATCGACAGGAAGAGCGGACGCTGCTGGTAGAGGAGTCGCCGGCACATCCTCGAAAACGGTATAAGGAGCATCTGGCTTGTCGTTGTCACCAAACCGAATTTACAACTCCGTTCTACCTGCCCTTATTTCAACTCCCTTTTGCACCATTTGAGTACCAGTTAAAGTTATTCCCAGCTGTCGTAATTGATATTGTCCTCTATACTCTATATCGATATACGTTTTTTTTTATTTTTGGGGTTCCTCCTTATCACGGTGCAAGATGTGTGGGGGCAGGTGTTTCTTTTGTGGATTGATCCTACTCGACTTCGGTTTTCTTCTGTTCGTGTTCGCAACCCACTGTCAAACAGCACCAGGATCAGAGACACTTAATGATCCTAAGTTGTAGCAGCTGGCTTAAGTAGTACTTTAGCTTTTCTTTCAAATTGAGTGCGCCTCGGCTCCTTCATGATCAAAGTTTGACCATCAATACAAATCATGAAGATCACGACTACAAAGAAATACAGTACGAAACAAGTTTCTTTGATAGTCGTGGAGGTTGTTATCAGTGCAACAACGAAGAACAACATAGATGAACACTTGACTCAGACAGTTCTGAGTGGTTGCTCCACGTCGCAAAACCACTCTCGCCGGACGACGAGCAAAATTTAACACAAACGAGCACGATCTCTCATGTGCAAAAGTGGCAAAAATAAATGTACACACAAAGTGAGCATCCAACTCTGATGACAACCACAATACTATACATGCTGAAAAAAGATGCCAGAAAATTAATGCACGTAGCTTCTTTAATATCTGTCAAGAAAGAGAAGCATGAGCTGCTGTTGTTGTTTTAACGTCATGCCATGCGGTTTGTGATTTAAATTGTGACAGATTTGGGACGGATTTGGGACGGCCAGCATTTTCTGATTCTGGGCGCCCCAAACCGGTCATATGGCCAAGCCATGGCGGGGCGGTGCGGGACGTGGCGGCAGGGCTAACACGCGTGTTTTGCACGTGTTCTACGGCTTGGGCAGAACCTCAGTAGAGAGTTACAAAAATAAAAGCATTTTGAAGTAAACAACATAAAACTAAAACTAAAAAGCACTACGCTAAGAAAACTACTTCCTGTTTTGAAAATTAGATAATCATAGTGTGGAACTTGCACTCATGTGTTTAAATCTGGAAGTGGAATCATGTGCAAGGGCGAAAGCAATAGAAGGCATCTTTGTGCAGAAAGGAAAATAAGCATGACAGAAATGAAGGAAGAGGAGGAAAAGGAAGGAGCAGAGCGTTTCATTTTTTGCGTTCTGGTGGTCTGCTGGTGATGAACGTCTTCACAGAACCTAAACCAAACGCTGCGAAAGTACGGCCATCAAGCTCGCGTCAAAACAATCCCTTGAGACAAAACGGTACTACCCCCTTCGTTCATCTCGTACAGCAGCGCGGCGAAAGCAGCAGGACTCTGGCCAAGTTGTCTGTATCGAATCACCCGGCAGCCACTTCTGCTTGGCCTCCTTGACGCATCCAGCTCTGGCACACCTGCGACGGAACCCGACGCCGTTTCGCCTTCGCCGACGCACCACGACAACGACCAAATGTCGCCGTCGATTGTGTCTGTGATGGTTTTTTCTTGGCCCTCGCGACCATACATCTGTGGTAGTCGCCCGATCAGCAGCTCGGTCCTGCTAACGTAGCCCTCGGATTCGTCCTTGCTCCTCATGCTCATGCAGCTGTCTTCGTTTTCATCGACATCAGAGTCAGCAGCAGACGAATGCAGGTCCTCGTCATCATCTTGATCGACGAAGGAATTCATGTCGGGGCCACCAGCTGCCGCTGCTGATCCGAGGGCGGCTGCTGAACCGGCCGCGGCGTAAAATTGTTCGGCGATGCTCAACCACCACTGTTTCACGGCTCCCGCGTCCATGTTCTTTTGCAAACGCGATGGCCTACTCCTGACGTCTCCACTTCCGCTGCTCCAGGTCGATGGCGAACTTGCGTAGTTGTTGAAGAAATTGTTGACTCTTACCCCTTCAGTACCACCGTGGTAAAGATCCTCTAGTAACTCCACATCGTGGTCTGCGGCTACTTTTGCATCAACGTGTTCGTCTAGCTCAGGAGCGTGTATCACCACTTGTGCGACGTCGTGGTGCGCGACCCCGACCACGACAGCACTGCCCGGCGCATATTTCGAAAGTGTACGTTTCGTACTTCGCTGCTCAAGGGGAGTGTCCTCCAGACAATGAGCGTCGTGAGCGGCCTCATGCAGCTGCTCCTCGTCCGATGTAGATGTAGTCCGTTTCGCCTTTGATGGAGCTGTACTGCTTATAGAATGGCGCTGGCGATCATCATCTTCATGATCATCGACATCGTCCGGAGCAGAAATTATTCCGACTGGTGATTCGTTCCCGCCGTTGCTCGTTCGCTCCTCGTCCTCCTGTCGGCCGTCGACAGACTCCGCCGGGTCTTGTCGATGTTCTTGTTGAAAACGAGGGGAGCTACCTGCAGCATCGGCCCCATTGCCATTCGACGCAGACTTCGAATCAAGCAAGGGACTTGCAGATGTAGGATCCTCATTCTGATCTTCGCTCGCAACTTCATGGGGTTCGCACTTCAGCTTCAGGTTTTCGTTTTGCTTCTGGGATTTCAATCCAAGGAAGACAAGGATACTGATGACTAAACATCCTGCCAGGAAGCCGAAAAACCGCGCGAATACAGAAGGCCGAGAGAAGGAAAACCTGAGAGAAACAGATGTTTTATGTTTATTTATTTTTTTTTATATGATTTTCATTTTTGCCATTGCCTTCGTGATACTGACATCCTCCATAAATCATACTACTAGTAGCGATACCGGATCCCGTACTAATTTTCGAGAAATATGCACCTCCCCCTGTCATGTTTAGACTTCTACCTGCTCATGCGCGCGCACAAGTACGAAGTACCCCCCTCCCTGAAATTTCTACACTTCTCCGACAACGAATACTCTGCGTAATCTTCACCTCCAAATGACCGACTGACATGTGCACGGTTCTACAACTTGTGCTGCGTCTAGCGGCGGCGTGAAAGAGTCGGAATGGATATCATGGAAGCAATTATACATAGTGGGCGGATCACAAACCTCATGGCTAACAAACTGCCCACCGGCACCGGGGTTGCTTATCATCTACGGATAAACCGGCCGGTTGGAGGTCCGTATCTCCGGCGCCCCAAACCCAGATCTTTTCCTACGAGTCCGTCGTCGGCACTGTCGCCCGCCCTGGTCCAGCAAATACGGGGCTCCCCCGCCCGCGACGCGCAACGGCAAAGCCCTTTTTCGGGAATCCTTTTGTCACCGGCACCGGCGCGGCGTATCCCTTTGTCGGGAATCGCGGGCAGGCGCGCTGCGCTGTCGCGCGCCGCACTCACTGGTCAGCGCACCCACTCCAGCTTGCGAGTGAGGGCGCTGCAGCAACGGAGCGTGACTTTTCGGTCAGGACGTCAGAACCAACGAACCGGACAGCTTCTATCTTCGACGCTTACTTGAGGATGAGGGTTGATGTGAGCTTGCTCTAAAACATTGATTTTCCTTGGGATTCACCGAAATAAATCAGCTGTCGTATTTCGTACATGCATTCACTGTCATTGAGTGAACAGGCAATATATTTCGTCTTATTTCATTCATATCTCAATCTCAGCAAATGCTGCGCCTGAGGGTGACAATATTAACACATATTTATCTTGTACCAGCCGGTCTGGAACTCCTGTATATTGTCGTTGTCGTCTCTGAGGAAGTCACGATTCGCTGTGTGCTTGCTGTCCCGCGCTGGTGCTCGAGCAGCTGCGGGCTGCGCTTCGTAAAGACCACTCCTGTGATCTAGCTTAACTGCCTCTCCATCTCGGCCGAGCACGTCTGACATGTTTTCATGCTTTAATCCACTAGCAACAGCATCTGCCTCTGCGTCGCTGGAGTGCCGCTGTCCAACTCCAAGTTGTTGCATTTGTTGTTCACGTAAGAAGATAACGGAATCATCAGACCCCTGCTGGTGCTGCAGCATCTTCCGGCTCGGCTTGGTTCTTTTGGCTTGTCCATCTTCCTCTTCGACCATCCCTGCGTAGCTTGGGGTTCTGTGCTGCTTTGTGATTTCCGGTACGCGTACGACCGGTTTCCGCATCTCTGCTGTGGTGCGTGAGTCGTCAAGAACGACAGCGCCCATACTCGGATCATGATCTACTTCATGACGACTGGCTCCGTCTTTGAAGACGTGTTTCGCAGCCTTGTCCTTGCGGCGTGCGTCGTGAAGATCATCATCACGATCATCAGCACCATTTTTGCTTTCGTTATTTTTCGACAAGGGGGAGGACGACTTCTCGCTCGCGCGTTCTTCTGCCGCTATAGCCAATGGCACTGCGATTTCTTCCTTCTCGTGAGCAGGTCCTCGTCTTCCTGTTGCTGCCGATTCAAGTAGCCCTGGCCGTTGCATGTCAGCATCGTGTAGTAGAGCAACCCGCGCTGGCTCTCCTCCAAGACTCTCGCGTTGCAGCGGGTCTTGCTTGGTGAACGCGCTGTCGATTGTGACACGAGGTGAGGGCAGTATTTCGTTGATGTTGCTCGAGCTCGACGTGGTCTCAGCGCTGGCCTGATCGGAACCGGCGTTGTTGCGACTGCTTTTGTCCCCCGTGGTCCATGTGCTGTCATGCCTGTGCTTCGAAGCCCGAGGAAATCGAAATATCCGGCGCGTACTCCGCGGCAAGCGAAAGTGTTGGACAGCAGACCGAACGTTGAATCCATGGACGTCCTCCATGCGATTACAAATTGGTGCACTTCTTGAAGACACGCACTGGGCCCGACGAAAAAGGCGTGAAAAAAAAGACACAGGAGCAGCATTCGCAAGAATGACAGTGCCAGTAGTTTTTTCCACCGATGGAGTACGAGTAGGAGTAGTTGAATTATTCCCAGTTGCAGCTACTGGAACCGCAGGGGAATCCTGTTGCAGTTGCTGCCAAGAAATGCCGGCCGCGCCTGCCACTCCAAGCACTGGCTGCTCTTTAACTTGTACCATCATCCCAGCCTGTCGCTCACGATCATCTTCATGGGGTTCCCTGCCGCTCTTAGTACAAGATTTTGTCGTGGCTCCATCCGTAACCGTAACATTTCTTCTGTCATCTACGAAATGCGATTTCGAGGTCGTTTGGTGCTCATTCAGTAAACCAGTGCTGTGCGTGATCAGATTAATATTTGTTGGTCCGCAACAAGCTGCGCTGGCAGACGCAGATGCTGGCGTAAGCCGTCTGGTTGTTCTGACCATGTGGATCATGGTTAGCGAGAAAGTGTCCCACGACAGAACCAGTTCGCTAGTGACGCGCTCCTCCAGCTCTAGTCCTAAATCTGCATCACCTTCGTCTCGTCCTACCTCTTCATTTTTCCGCATGGCATACCGGCGACGAACTTGTTCTTGTTGAACAGATTGAAGACGTAACAAGCGGTCCCACGTGTTCAAGGACAAGGTGACTGTGCCATCCGAGCGGCGCAGAAGCTCGGTGACGGCAACTGGAACTTCCGCAAGAACACCAATATTCGTGCTGTTCCGGGACCAGGAGGGCAGCGCTGTGTCATTTGGAGGCACCACTGCGGAAATAATTCGAGTGCGGTTGAGGATGAGCACGACTCCGGTGTCATGTTGACCTGGCATGATTGGACGAGTTGAGAAAATTTATTCTGTTTGTTTCTCCTTGGTTCGGAGAGTCCTCTGAAAAATCAAAAATACAAATTAAAATTAGTAGGCTCTTCCGAAAAATAAAAAGAAAAATATGTAAATGTAGACGAAAGAAAGTCGAATCTGTACCAAAGTAGCAAAACGTAAATACAGTACTGATACTTTCTGGTAAATCTGCTGGCAGTGCCAGAACCTCTCGGTCGTACATCTGGAGTTGCGCGCGCGGACTCAGAAGCCCGGCATCAAAAACAGCAGCAGATTGCCAGACGGTGTCTTCTGCTGAAGTGGTCAGTGCCGTCGATGAACTTATCACCATCATCACAGCCGAAGGCAAAGAACTCTGGCGGTACGCATAGTGCACGCCAGCGTCGTGGATCCACATACGGCTCGTGTCGGATTTCCTGTTCGTGACAGCGAAGCTTTCCCCCGCTCCACCCGAAGATGGTAGGCCGGGTCCTTGTTTAGCCTCCTCTTCGTGTGGGTCTCGCTCCTCTCGTGATTGATCACTACGGAGGGAAACTGAAAGCAGAAACTCAAGGTCTCCAGCCCGATGAGTTTTGAACTCACTGCTCCATTCAAACCGCATCGAGTCGTTAATATCCCGAATGACTTCGCGCCCCTTTTGGGCTAAACGTAACAACGACTCTGGAATCGACATTCCAAAATGCTTGATGCAATCGTCGTTGGCCTGCCACGTAAGGGCAACGCCAATAAGGGCCCACACGGGCATTGCCGACGAACCCGAATTTACAAGGAGTAGCTCTCACGAGAAGATCCAGAAGATCAGCAATAAAAATATTTATATCGATAATCTCCAAAGTAGTGTCGCTCTTAGTTCAACACCTTCTAAACGGAAGAATCTGTGAGAAAGCTAGAAAAGGACCACAAGCTCCTCATACATCTCACAAATGCAAGATGACGGATTCTCGACTACTACTGGGACTGAGCTGTCTGAAGGTGAATCTATGCTACATATAAAAAAAAAAAGTTATTTCGTACGATGAGCTGATCGACTGCCTCAATTCAGCTGCTGGGTATCCACAAAGAAAGACACACTCTGCGAGGATTTATGATAAAAATATAGACGATGAGCCGCCTTCATATCTGTCTTTTTGTAGAGAGCGCGAGCAGGATGTTTGTCGACACAACATCACCACAGACGAATATACTCCATCTTCGACTTTCATACGAATACTGAGGACATCACGACCCACGATCACGAATGATTGTTTATCTTAATACTTCACGACGAACCCGGAGTCTATATATCTGCACCTGCAGAGGATCAAGACATACTTCCTCCCACGATTCGAACGACTCGGACGGAAGAAGCAAACGAGGACTGCGCTAGCTCTTAAAAGGCGGCATCGATATCGGCGCGGCTGGTGGCTAGAAATTGATTTTTTTTGTTCTTTGTCATTTTTTAACAACTGCGCACGCATGTTCCCGAGCTGCTATATTAAGCATTGAAGCTTCGCCCGCGGTCAGCGGAAACGTATTACGCGGACGCTGGCATCGCTTCAGGCCGGGAAGAAGACGAAACAAACGAAAAGACCAGGGCCAGGGGGCTTGCTATCCTTGCTTTTTCATAACAACATCAAATAAAAGTAGAGAAATTTGCTCGGATCGGTTACAGGGTTTTTTGCAATAGCGGCCTGTTGCAATTTCGTATTTCTAACAAGAACACGACCAGCGGGAACAGGCACTTGAAAGAATCTTTATGACGTGGATCTGTCATGCTCTCACCTGCGACACTTCCCCAGTGGCAGCGCACAACCTCAGCCGTAACAAGACAGATCTACGTACGTGATTTTCATTTTCTTCTCTCGCGCTACAACTTCTTCCAGGTCCTGCTTGTCTTTGAAACTAGAACTACGCTGGTGCAGGTGCGGGATAATCAAATAGAAATTTACTCTTCATCTTCCACTGGTAGGCTCAGGTTGCAGCTGCTACTTCTCTTTGCAGTTGCTCAGCTAACTTCTACTGGTAGGCAACCTACCAGAAAGCGAAAGGGCATCCCTACATGAGGGCGGCTGCAGGGAAAATTAAAGGAAACAGAAAGGGCATGGCTATATGAGTCCCCCCCTAAGCGCGATGATCTATGTGTATGTCGTCGCGGGCCAGAGGGCAAAAAAATTTGAAAACCTGAAAGCCAACCAACTCAATACGGACAACCCCCAGTTTGAGTGCTACCTGTGTCCTCGAAGAGGTGCAGTTTATTTATGGGCACAGCCTATATATTAAACTAAACGAAGAGGGCTCGCTAATAACACCCCCCAGCGGGCGCGCGCGAATCTCTGTCCTGGCCGTGGCCGGCCAGAGGGAAGACCAAACTCGAAACCTGAAAGCCGACCAATCCAACACTACGGCCCACCCGCCCCAGCCCGCTTAGTGTGTATAAATATCTGTCCTTGAGTTGCATGTCTTTGGCCGCAATCTAAAATGCTAGATCGCGACGTCGCCCTCCGGCGCGCGAGTATCTCTGTCCTGGCCGTGGTCGGCCAGAGGAAAGACAAGCCCCGAAACCTGAAGAATGAAAATCGACCTATCCAGTACGGACCACCCCCAGCCCGCTACAGAATCTCTGTCCTAGATTTTTTTTACAGTTCCCTGGCCGCAATCTAGGAAGCTAGATCATGAAAAGGCTTCGGCAGCGTGGCCCCCCCCGCCGGAAGTATCTCTGTCCTGGCCATGCTCCTGCTCGACCCGGGGCGGAAACGACGCAAAAACCCAACCAAGGAAGGCCCGGGTGGCTGGGTACTCAAAGAGACTGACCCGCCCGCGCATTGGTATCTCTGTCCTGGCCACGTTCGAACAGGGAAACAGAAGACGGAAAAACCCGAAGCATAACCACCTGGATAAGGAAGCTTCCCAGCGCATTGCCCGGCATCTCTCTCCTGGCCGCCTTCGACTAGGGGAGAAAAAGGCGCAAAAGCCCGAAGGCCGTTGGACCGGAAAAGGACACCCCGCAGAGCGCATTGGTATCGCTGTCCTGGCCATCTTCGGAACGGCTGGGGGAGAAAAAGGCGCAAAAACCCAAATGCCGCTTGACTCCGGAATAAGGAGTAAGGACACTCATCCCCCAGCTCAGTGGTGCCTCCGTTCTGGCCATGTTCGACCAGGGGAGAAAAGTCGAAAAGGCCTGATCATGAAAACTTTTTTTCGCTAGTCGGGCCCCCCAGCGCGCGAGTACCTCCGTCCTGGCCGTGGTCGACCAGAAGGGCAAAAAACGCCAGAGCCCGCAGCCGACCTCCAGCCCGGTACTGAGACCTCCCGCCCCGCTTGCTATCCCTCTCCTGGAGTTGCAATCCCTCACTCGCATTGTAGCAAATTCGGCCAAACGATCTCGCTAATGAGGCCCCCTAGCGCGCGAGCATCTCTGTCCTCGCCATAGTAGTCGGCCGGTGGGGGGCAAAGGATTTCCCATCCTGAAAACCGACCAAGCCAAGAATGCGGAGAATCCCGAGCCTGCTTCATAGCTCTGTCTTTGAAGCGCTTCCTTCGGGGGCTGCGCGTTTTTGATACGCTGGCGCTGTGCTTGCTCTTCTATTCGTACCTGATTTACTCTTCGATGGCTTGCGGCGTACTTATGTCGTTGGGCACGCCGCTTCCGATCGTTTCTTTCGAGTTCGGAACTCTGACGAACTTCGTGCTTCCAGATGAGCCGTCTGCTCAACAAAAGTTGGCTAACTTTCCACGCCATACATAATTAAGCCAAATTAGTAGCGTCCTGGAAAGAAATGCCCGAAATTCGTCAGCACCACCGTCGGGCCGAAGAGATTCCCGACCAGGATCGCGGGTGGATGCCGCAGCCGCTTTTTTTGCGGCTGGCTGCACAAAACGAAAGAAACCGAAACCATGAAGACAGTTGCTGCGAGGGAATCCCCAGCGCCTGGGTATCTCTGTCCTGAGCGTAAGCGGCTGGGCGCACAAAAAGAAAGAAGAAAACCGAAACCATGGAGACAGTTGCTGCCAAGGACACCCCCCAGCGCTTGGGTATCTCTGTCCTGGGTGGCCATGCATACACACAGAGGCTGGCTAACTTTCCACGCCATACATAATTAAACCAAATTAGTAGCGGCTTGGAAAGAAATGCCCGAAATTCGTCAGCACCACCGTCGAGCCGAAGAGATTCCCGACCAGGATCGCGGGTGGATGCCGCAGCCGCTTTTTTTGCGGCTGGCCACACAAAAAGAAAGAAGCCGAAACCATGAAGACAGTTGCTGCAAAGGACACCCCCCAACGCCTGGGCATCTCTGTCCTGAGACTAAGCGGCTGGGCGCACAAAAAGAAAGAAGAAAACCGAAAGCATGAGGACCGTTGCTGCTAGAAGCCGAAACCATGAAGACAGCGGCTGCTAAGGACACCCCCCAGCGCCTGGGTATCTCTGTCCTGAGCATAAGCGGCCGGGCACACAAAAAGAAAGAAGAAAACCGAAACCATGAAGACAGTTGCTGCTAAGGACACCCCCCAGCGCTTGGCTGGATATCTCTGTCCTGGCCATAAGCGGCTGGCCACACAAAAAGAAAGAAACCGAAACCATGAAGACAGTTGCTGCCAAGGACACCCCCCAGCGCCTGGGTATCTTCAGGGTCGAAAGAAGCCGAAACCATGAAGACAGTTGCTGCTAAGGACACCCCCCAGCGCCTGGGTATCTCTGTCCTAAGCATAAGCGGCTGGGCACACAAAAAGAAAGAAGAAAACCGAAACCATGAAGACAGCTGCTGCGAAGGACACCCACCAGCGCTTGGGTATCTCTGTCCTGGCCATAAGCGGCTGGCCGCACAAAAAGAAAGAAACCGAAACCATGCAGGCAGTTGCTTTTAAGGACACCCCCCAGCGCCTGGGTATCTCTGTCCTGAGCATAAGCGGCTGGGCGCACAAAAAGAAAGAAGAAAACCGAA